TGTCACCTAAATTAAAACCTTGCTGTTATTAATCTATGAAAACTATAGGAATGGAGCTCAGGAGAATTCAAATGTCGTCAAGGAGAAATCATTTATCATCCAGATGCGTATGGCTCGCCTACTTCCTTCTCCTTAGAGCTCAAGTGCATGTCTCTTTTCTTATCACATGCTTCTATGCCAACAACTTCCAAAACTTTCTCTTTAACCCATCAGATTTTCACTGCGTTGCTCCTACTCTTCTTCTTCCAATCATTTTGGAAATTTGGATCCTATATGGCCACTTAGAATTTCCATATATATGTATATTTTGTTCTGTGTGAGAGACATGCGTACATTTGAATGTTGGATAATGGACTGGTAACGTGTGTTTATTTATTAGGTCCAACCTTCGGTTGTATACTTGTATATGTAACACAAGGCGACAAGAAAAAAAAACCCAACACAAAAATTTGTTGCTTTTTTCTAAATGCCAAAATCTTTGAAGTTTTTTTGTTTGGACTCAAATTTATCGACGTTCGCGTTTTTTGTTTTTGTTTTAAGCAATCTGCAATGCAAAGTTTTTGTCGTTGTGTCTTGTGTGTGTTCTTGAATGCGTTGTTCCTCACTTTTGAATTTTGATGGTTTTGGGATAAACTTATTTGTCATATATATGAAAAAGATATAACAATATATATTACTCGAATATACTAAGTAATAATTTCCCTAATTTTTCAATCATAACACCATCAACTTTCTTTTGTTTAATAATTATAAACGTCCTCGATCTTGAGCTTTCCTTTGTCAAAAAAGTTAATATTTTCAAAGAGATCAAAACTATGATGATGTTTGACAGAGAAGAACGTCCTAGATTTAGAGTGACGGTGTAATTGTGATGGTACTGACGAAGGCTTACGTACGTACACCATCACGGTGTTGAAGACGGTGTCTCTTTGAAACAGATGTCTTTGTTCGTGATGACGATAACGATGAGAAGATCAATAATAAACATGATGGTGATGTATTTCTTTTCTCAAAAGAATTGATGTTCCCATGGATAAAGCACAATAAAAAACAAAAGTTGACCCATCAGCCAGGTATATCACTGTGATGATTCAATGGCCGATCGGCTAATATTATTGTTGTATAACATCTCATGTGCTTTAATAACCACTAGGAGCAACATTTTTATTTAGATTTCTTAAATATCAGAATCTACTCTGGATCATGTACGTCTCAGGTTCTTACTATTAGTAGGTTCAACTTTCACATAGATAAAGTCATTTTAAACTTTGAAAAAGTAGTGTTAAATTAAAATGTAAATAAGATAAGTAGATGCCGTTACGAAAGCTAATACGTTCATACTGGAAACCATGAATGAGCAAGAGCTTTTCTTTATGTGTTTGTTTTACTTTGTCGAGTTTTTTTGCCTTTGTGTATTTTATTAATTTATTTTGTGATATGTTTTGAACAAGTTCACGTGTAAAGGATTAAATTTTGGCTTTTTCAATACCAAAAGGGCTACTTAGTGTGATTTTACTCCATACACAAATGACTTGGATCCACGAATCCAACTTCAAATAAATAAAACTTCATCTTTTATTAATCCTTCATTTTTCCAGCTATTAAAAAGCAATTATTTTATGCTGACATTGAAGTTCAAACAGTATTCAATTTAATTGTTATTGTTTCGTCAATCAAATTTAAATGTTATTTATTGACCGGAAATTGTTATTGGTTTGAATTAATTAGACGTACGCACCGGTTCAAAAGAACAAAAGCACAACAAGTGTATGTGTTCTTCTTCGAGATCATGATATATGATCCACTGATCAACTTAGCTCAAAGAGAGATTACAAATGAAAAAGAAAAAAACATTGATTAAGAAAACCGGGTTAGATTTTAACAAAAATTTGAGTTAATCATGTATCATTTGTTCTAAGAAGAACCAAACTACTCGTTCACGCTTCTCAAGCTTCCCCTCCGATTTTCTTTTTCGCAAAAGACATCAAAAGTCATTTTCTTTGTAATTGCTTACATGAGTTACGTTGTGTAGGTTAAACCATCTTTGTGAATATGATATTTGCTAAATTAACATTCAACGACCGTAACGTCAATCCACGTTGTGTTTTCGATATTGCTCAACGATTTTTAAATCTATTATATATTTTGTCAACGGTGAAGGTTTTTTTTTTTAAATATCAAATTAAGACTTGAATCCCACCGGGCAGATGTTTTTTTGGCGCCTGTAATCAACTGAAAAAGCAATGCAACAACCCAACATTTGAAAATGAAATAAAAAAATCATGAAAAGCTGTTCCTAATTTTTATGATAAAAATGACTCCAAGCATGTTTGTGTGTTTCGATAAGGTAGGAAAAATTAAGAATAAGCCCTCTTTCTTCTAACCTGGTTAATCCGAATTAGTAAATCGTCGTATTTAAGTATTGCATTGAAATTGTCGTATAAGATGATTCTTTCTTTCTTTAATTTGTTTAATCCGTACGAAAGTCAAAACGAATATTTAAAACCTTTTTTTTAAACTAGCGTACGTGGCAAGTTGAGGAGTTTCAATAAGAAGAGGCATCGCGCGCATGTTTTTTCATTTGTATAAACTGTTTCTATTTGCGTTTATTTGATTGTTGTTATGGCAGAAGACTCTTCCGATTCCATCATCGTTAACGTCGTCGGAGATGATAACCAATCGGCGTTGTTCGGTAAGTACGATATCGGGAAGCTTCTCGGCAGCGGCGCGTTTGCCAAAGTCTACCAAGCCGAGGATCTTCACAACAACGGCCAAAGCGTTGCGATCAAAGTCGTCCAGAAAAAGCGTTTGAAGAACGGTCTCACGGCGCACGTTAAGAGAGAGATATCCGTCATGCGCCGCCTCCGCCATCCTCATATCGTGCTCCTCTCCGAAGTCCTCGCCACCAAGACGAAGATCTATTTCGTCATGGAGCTAGCCAAAGGCGGTGAGCTATTCTCCAGAGTCACCAGCAATCGTTTCACGGAGAGTCTAAGCCGAAAATATTTCCGGCAGCTGATCTCCGCCGTGAGGTACTGCCACGCGAGAGGAGTTTACCACCGTGATCTGAAGCCGGAGAATCTTCTCCTCGACGAGAATCGAGACCTGAAGGTTTCCGACTTTGGTCTAAGCGCGATGAAGGAGCAGATCCAGCCCGACGGAATGCTCCACACGCTCTGCGGGACTCCTGCTTACGTGGCGCCGGAGCTTCTCCTGAAGAAAGGCTACGACGGATCAAAGTCGGATATCTGGTCGTGCGGCGTCGTTTTGTTCCTTCTCAACGCCGGCTACTTGCCGTTTAGAGATCCAAACATCATGGGGCTCTACCGGAAAATCCACAAGGCTCAATACAGAATGCCGGAATGGACTTCCACAGATCTCCGGCAGCTTCTCCGCCGTCTCTTGGAACCAGATCCAGAAAAACGGATCACCGTCGAGGAGATTCTTAAAGATCCGTGGTTCAACCATGGAGTAGATCCGAGTGAAATCATCGGGATCCAGGCCGACGATTACGATCTAGAGGAAACCGGGAAAAAACTAAACGCCTTCGAGTTAATAGCTTCGTCGTCGACGGCGAATCTCGCCGGTCTGTTCGGAAATTTCGTGACGCCAGACCACTGCGATCAATTCGTCTCCGACGAGAGTACGGCGGAGATAATGGGTAAGGTCGTGGAGGTTGCGAAGAAGTTGAATCTGAGGATTGCGAAGAAGAAGGAGAGAGCGATAAAGCTGGAAGGGCCGCATGGAGTAGCCAATATCGTAGTCAAAATTCGCCGACTAACAGACGAATTAGTGATGGTGGAGATGAAGAACAAGCAAAGAGACGTGGGCCTAGTTTGGGCCGACGAGCTCAGGCAAAAGCTTCGTCGTTCGATTAACCAGCCGGTTCATAGGGTTTCAACGTAATCCATTCGTGAGGTTCATTCAACGGTTGAACAAGAGCACCAGTTTTAATTTTTAAAGTCATTGAGGATTCGAGAAGCATTATGATGAACCGGTTCGGTTTACATTGAAGCAGAGAGAGAGAGTAATGGGAAGAACCGTCTCTTTGTAAATAAAAATGACAAGAAGAAGAAAAAGAAGGAAGAATACGAACCTGGATTCAATTTATTAGTTTCCGAGTATATTAATTAACACAAAAAGTTCATTTGCTTTAATTCGTCGGAGAGAATTTGATTAAAACGCTGATCTGAAATGTGTAGTCTTTGCATGTGTGACTGTGTGTTTTGCAAACTTGAGCCTTTGTTTTTCGTCAGGGACATGCCACACCGTTTGTAATATTTTATCGTTGTTGATTGTGTTTGGGAATCGGAAGAAGCATTTTGGATATTAAGTTTTTGTATTTTTTATAAATGCCATTTGCAAGTATTTTATCTTCTTAAAATAGAAAGACTTATTAATTCTTAAAGAATCAAACTAAAAGAAATTAGTATAACACGGACGATGATTTTGAGACCGGTTCTAAGTTATGTCATTGAGTAGTTCGTTTAGCTCTCGGCGACATTTTTCAGCAGCATACGACCCGCCAAAACAGCCCAACAAACTACTTAACAACGAGTTTCAGCTCAAAACAGCTTAAACAAAACACAAATAGATAGCTCCAACGTGTATAAATATGATCGTAGAGATAAATTTAGCAAGTTTTTATAACTGAATTAGAAAATTAATGATATTTGGATAATAATATTGCCCGGTTAGCAAATTGAGTGGTGTGGTCGCCGAACGAAAGGGAGATGTTATAAAGCAATAATAGTAGCTGTCGGTAATTACGTGTTAAGTGTATGCAAGTCTATCGCAGCTAACCGTCTTCTTAAGTAAAAACTCAAAATCTGAGGTTGAAGAAAATCAAAGGACAAAGACAGACGAGGTATATCTGCGAAAGTTGTCCCAAAATGATTTTCATTGTTTTTTTTTTTTTTTTTTTTTGGTTTCTTTCTTGAATTTGTGACTACCAAAACGACTGTACATCTTGGTTTAGGAATTGACCCTCCACAAATTGCCTACCAGTCCCATCCCCAGTCTTCTTCACTTTCCTGCACATTATCAACAAAACCCCAATATCATTACACTTCATTGCCATTGTTGCCAATGTATCAAAGCTCTATACAGCATATAATCTATAACCAATGCGTTCTTGTTACAAATTCAGTGTGTCACAGAACCATTCTAAGCATGTTACAGGCATAAGCTGCTATTTCTACCTTGTCCCTTCAGGACATACACATTATTATACGTCGCTATACGATTTGATAACTGTAAGCAAAAGCAAAAAAACAGAAACTAAAAAGGTTCAGAAGAAACTAGTCTTACTTGAGCCAGTGATTCGGAGAAGGGTGTTCGAATGGATTCTCTGGAGCCAACCCAGTTGGACTCATGTATGAAACATTATTCGGGCCTGGTTCTTCTGGTCGACTTAGCGACAAAAGACTCTCTGTGCCGGATGATGCTGGGAGGAACATTTTCTGTGACCAAGGATCATGGTTGCTTGGACCAGCAACGGGGCTGAACGTGCCACTTCTCTGATCATTTTCCTTCCTGTGTGAATAACTACTGTGAATAGGGTCATCTTTTGCAAATAATGATGACGTCCTATTATGAGCCACATGATTCAAAGCATTCTCAGTATTATTTGAAGGCAAAAGGAGGTCTTGGCCAAAGGTGGTCTTCCACATCTGCCAGCTTCCATCATTAACTTGTTTTTCATCTGCAACTCGTAATCTTGACAAGGGAGACTCGATCGGAGATGGCTTATTGGCTTCACAAAATGCTGTATTCTTCAACAAGTGGGGCTTTTCCAGTCCTACACCAGTTTCAAACTCAGCTCTTAGATCAAGTGATTCTGAAATAGGTCCGAGTAGAGATATTGGATCCGGAACATAACACGGATCTTCAAAATGCTCTTCTTCGGGCATAAATGTACGAGAATTTTCCCCGGGCTGAGGGAGAACAACATCTCTTGCAGATGAGAAACCTAAGCTACTGATAGTTGATCCGCTGGAGTATGCTGGTATGGTGAATGGTGATGGGAGCCCAAAACTGATTGGATTGTCAAAGGTTCGTACTGAGTGATCTTGACTAGGAACCTCTGAATTCTGAACGGTTTTGGGCTTCGTATTAGGTCGACTTATAACATTAACATTGGAGGAAGCAGGCACAGAAGGCGTACGGGCGAAGAGTTGCTGCCATGATTTTTTAGGTTCTCCACTTGGTTGCGGCTCAGAAACAACCTGAGAGAATACCATAATATTTTTCAGTGTCCATTATAAAACCCGCCTGAAGAAAACTAGAACCAAGTCTAAGTTGAACAACATACTTCAAGAACAAGACGATTTTGAAAAATTATATAACAAACTTATCAACTTAACAAACAAACAAAAAGATGAAAGCGAAAGAGAGAAGTGATTTATAACTGCAAAAACTATATACTGGTTTCGTGAACCGGCGGATCACAATGACATAAATAATTTGGCAAGAATACTTACAGGACGATTAGTATTCCTTTCCCCTCCACTTGAAGCAGATTTTCCAGGTACAAATTCAGGAGGATTAATATGCCTAGTATGAGCAGATGCATGAGAATGGTCTGCAGAGCCGATGGGTTTATTCTCTTTTGCAGTTGTAGCAGACATATTGACACCTCTTCCAAAGAACCGGTTATCTGTAAAAGCCTTAGAAGAAGAGAAAAGCGTACCCTTCACTCGATCAAAGTACCTACCGCCAGCTCCCGTCACGCTACTGTTACTAGTAGCATTATTATCTACCCCATGCCCATATCTCCTTTCCATGGGGCTCCTGGAATTATCAGACGCATGCCTCTGATGTTCCGAATGATTATTCTTATCAAGCTCACGCTTATGCTCAGTTTCCTTTCCTACTCTCTTGTCAAGCTCCTCCGCATCGGAATTGCTCTTACTAGAGGCCTTGTCTCTTTCTTTCTTCCTCTCCTGGCGCTTCTTTTCCGCCTCCTTTTTCGTATCCTTTTCCTTGAAAGCAGGCGACGATTTGATGCATTTCTCGGCTTCAATTTTCTCATCTCTCAACTTCCTCCGCTCCTCCACTAGCCTCGCGACTTCCTCTCGTTGTTTTCTCTCTTCTTCCTCCAAATGCTCCTTTTCCAGCCTAGCTTGCCTTTTCTCCTCAGCTTTTCTGCGTGCTTTCTCAACCCTACTCTCATGATAGCTGGTCCCATTCTCACCCTGCCTAGACAGTAGTCGTCTCTGGTCAGCATCAGTCGACGACTCATCAACCGAAGAGCTAAAGCTAAAAACTTTTCTCCAAAGCCACCTAATGCTCATAAAAAACGAAGTAAGGAGTCTGCAAGCAAAAACAACGCCACCAGGATACGATTTCTCCACCAAACAATTCTCATCTTCTCCAAACGTACTACCACTATCATTCCGCCAATAGGTTGACTCGCTACTCCATGTGCTGTTTTCTGACCATTCTTGCCCGTGCATCCATCCATTCTCATTCCATCCTTTCCCATTCAACATCTTACCACCTCTTCCAACGAGATCCTTCAAAATTCCAGAACCAGAAAGCCCCAACCCTGGAGGCACAGGCATGTCTAAAACAGGCCTCTTTGATATGTGGCCACAATATGAGCACATAAACCGTCCACCACCTGGGTTTTGGTCACGGTAAGGCGTTGAGCAGTTACGGCAACGCCGTGTAGCAGTTTTCTTAAGCTTTTGCAGCTCCATAGCTTCCAAACGCTTTCTCTCCCTGAGACGAGCATTTCTCCGCACACGCCAAGTAGAGAGCTGAGGCATCAAGACCTCGTACCAGAACAAAGTAACCAGAAGCACGAATACACAAGCTAGCCTCGGAGAAGTTATTTCGAAACGAAAAGCTGGTGGAAGAAGCTGAGAGAGAGCCCATAGTCCAATCAACGGTAAAACCAACCAAGGCAGCATCGTTGCAACCCGGCGAGACCACTTTTGAATAACACACAATATACACATTATCCTCTCAAACCAACCCTTTTTCTTCTTTCTTAGCAGACCGAATCAATTACAAAAAAGAAACCCTAAACTCGGCAATTTCTCAACTCAGGGGATGTGCTCGCGACAGAAAACCCTAACCTTATTCTCCCTTCCAGGTTGTATACCATCGAAGTATACTAGTCCCCAGATCGAAGAACTTCAGCAAAAAATTAGGGCTTGAAGAATCAACAAACACCTAATGCACGAACGAAATTAGGATCAAAATGAAGATCGCCCACATTCAGAAAATGGAAAAAAAAAAAAAAAATCGATTCGATTTATACAATTAGCGACCAGAGCCAGGAAACCCAGTTCGGCAGCGAGCTCGAATAAACTCACGGTGCAATGTGAATGACTCAAGAGGGGGATAGTGGGCAGAGAGACGAGGAAACTTACCGATATCAAAAGGAAATAATCGGGGAGAAGCAAAAGGGGTTCGTGATTGGAGTTGGAGTGCAGATACGAGATTCGGATCCAATTCGGGTAGAAGAGCGTCGCCCAATTCTTGGCAGCGAAGAAAACGAAAACGGGAAAACGAAAGATTGATGATGACGATGATGATTGATGAAGAGAAATGAGAACCGGGTGGTGTGAATCGGGGCTGGGTCTATAATATGATCCCAAACCTTTTGTTATTAGTCGGTGGTGCCTTTGATGCGCCCCCTTCGTTTTAGGTTTATCCAAACACATAAATTTGTCAAATATCCTTTAATGTAGAGATATATTTTTGTTTTTACAATAAATTTACTTATGTGGAGATACAATAAATAAAGGGTGTGATTAGTCGCATGTGGTATTTTTTTTTTAATTCATAAGATTTTTCCATTGTTAATTGGGTTATTGCTTCATTTTATAACTTATTAGTATATAAGGTTCATTTTTTCCACTTTGTTTTCTTTCTAGTTAATTAGTTTTAACTGACACAGTAAAAATAATAGAGTTATCAATCACACATATGGCATTGAAAACCAATTATTCTATTTACGAATGAATCAAAGTTAAATAATGTTCTCTAAAATAAATTTATTTAGAAAAATAAAAAATATATATACAAATGAAAAAATTCAAACAGTGCCACAATTCGATGTGCTGCCTTATGATGATCAGAATTAATTATATGATGCCCTGGCCAATGCAATATTTGATAAGCTTATTATCATAGTGAATTCTAAAGTTCTCAAAGTCGTTAAGGTTATACAATCTTCTGAACAAACAACATAATGAAGACTACGAAAAGGTAAGGAATTAAGTACATATTTTAGTGTTAATTCTATCATTTAATTTTCATCATGCTTAATCATGTTATATATGTGTTGTAGAGTCAATGTCTTCTCTTCAAAACATAACTAGGACAAGAGGTTAATTCATCATTAATTTCTTCTAAAATTGGAGACTCGAGGTTATCTTCAGATAAACTATATACAGTTGTTGAACTCTTATAACTCTAACTTAACTGTCATGAGTTAAAAATGAACTAATCTCCCCCCATAAAGTAGCTATGTTTATATAGTGTGTCGACAGGTTTATCGATTATTGATAAAAAAAGAAAGAAACAAAGAATTGTGCTTTCTTTTAATTCTTAAAACTGAAAATTGAATGACAGGCAATCTAGTGTTTATATAGTGTGTCGACAGGCAATCTTCTTGTATGTCTTTTGGTAGTTTAGAATGTTAGCATAAATCTATTTCGAAATAACATTGAGAATCTATAAATTTATCATGCTCCTACATCAACACAAAATCTTCTACGGTGTCTGGTCCAATAGTAGGTTTAGATATAGATTCGTAATTTTATGCCTAAAAATGAGACACATACTGGAAAATCTGAATAATGCATGTTACCTCGGTGCAAAAGTGATCAATATTAGCAAAAATAAGTACCATAAGACATAATCAGCATGCAAAAAAAAACTATATCATTAAGACAGAAGACCAAACACATAAGTTATAACAAAGAATTTCAACAAAAATAACATGGTAAGTTTGAACAATAGTTTCATAAAAGTCTTGTTTCATGCTTATTATCACACACATTAATGAATAACCTCTTCTAAAATATTGAATGATTTTTGTTTCCTATCATGGATCTTTTCATCTACTGAGATTACTGAACCTGAGGAACAAGAATTCCATCTTTGCATGAGTTTTATGGAACAAACACCACAACTTCTCATATATCTTTGTAAATGGAGTATATACTAGAAATCACATGATCACCAATTCATCTAAACTTTCAATAAAAAAAAACAAATAAATAAATATTAGAAAAATACTTTCAGAATAAGTCATGGGACTCATGGTCAAAGTATAATCATGCTGCAATGTCCCCAGCAAAACACAATAATTCTCTTCTTTTACAGAGTTTTTTTAGAATGTTTCTCCTTAAAAAAGTGTCAGGACTTACTTTTTCTTCAGAAAACAAAAATGTCAGTTAAACCGAAAATATAATTTTCTTCCCACTCCTCCACCAATGAGAGACCAAGGATTCGCTGTCTGTAAATCAACAAATGCAAGCCACGTTTAACTTATACTTCCATATAACCATTTGTTTTGTTACGCGCCGTGCGCCTCACAGTTTGGGTTTAAGGTTAACAACTGTTTAATCACATTGGAGATTACCTTAATCACTCCCGCCATTACGCGCTTTCCTCATTTAACATATATAAACCCGAAACGTAATTACGTAATTTTACAGCCGAATTTGGGAGTTTTCTTTTCTTCAAAGTTTGTTATTCCTTTTTCTCCCGATTCTTCGCATTTAAAGAAGGTGAAAGCGAAACCGATTCCAAATCGAAGCTTCGAGATCTGTATTCCGGCATGACGAATCCCGACAACCAGAAGCCGGTCGAAGTTGCCGACGTGGAGGCGGCGGCCAAGACGGAGACGGAGACGGAGACGCCGGCGTTTTCCGCGATTACTCAGAGGTGGAGAAGGGAGGATTTGGTAAAGAAAGCATCTCCGATTTCGAGAGGATTGTGTCTCTTGTTCTCTCTCCTCGCATTCATAATCATGGTCTCTAACAAGCACGGAGACGGTCGAAACTTCGACGACTACGAAGAGTACAGGTTCGATTCCATTGATTCCGATGTAGATATATGAGTTTTGATACTTTGAAATTTTGAAAATTGGGTTTTGAAATTCAGTGGAATCTCTGTTAAAAGTTTGGAGATTTCTCAATTTTGTTCTTCAGATATGTATTGGCGATCGCGATTATCTCAACTTTATACACTGCGTGGCAAACGTTTGCACATTTCTCGAAAAGAGAATTCTTTGATCGCCGGACTTCCGTCTTGGTCGATTTCTCCGGCGACCAGGTAATGGAGGAAACTGATGACCAAATTTATATATATATTTTGTAAAATTATTGATGGTGATGCAAAAAAAAAAAAAAATTTTGAAAAGAGAATCACTTTCAAATTCTTTGTGACTGATTAATACTTTGTTTTCGTAATTGTAGATTGTAGCGTATCTTCTGATTTCAGCTGCGTCTTCTGCAATTCCATTGACCAACAGATTCAGAGAAGGTCAAGATAACATATTCACTGATTCCGCTGCTTCAGCAATCAGCATGGCTATCTTCGCCTTCGTCTCTTTAGCTCTCTCTGCTCTCTTCTCCGGTTACAAACTCTCCACTCATTCTTTCATCTGATTCTGCGCTTAAACATCTCTCTGCACTATATGTGATTCAATCGTTATACATGTAAATCTCATTCTTTGATGTGTGCATATAGCGGTTACTGATGAAGACGATCTTCTTTTCTTTCTGTGTGTACTTCTTTGATACACTATATAAAGTGAAAAGCATGTGAAAATTGATTGGCTTTATTATTCTAGTTCTATATAGTACAAATACTAAAGATATTACAGGGCGTGTGAAAAGCTCGCATGAGCCATACCAAAAAAAAACAAATGAAATAATTTCTCTATGGGACTATAGACTATAGTCTTAGTGTCTGCAGGGATCACTAGTAAGTAGTTAAACCCTTTTTTTTCTGGCAGAAATGTACAAAAAGGAAACCTTTTCCTTCACGACAAAAACGAATCGAAAAACGAGGGCTCCTCGTTTGGTTCTTCTTTTGCTCTAGAGAACCCACCACCGACAAAGTTCTGTTGTGTCTGAAGGTTGCTGTTGTTGTTGTTGTTCATAGCGTAACCAAAAGTCCCGGTATTAGTGTTGTTGTGCAGCATCTGAAGTGTGTATGGTGGTTGAGAAGAAGTAGTGTAAGAGTGACCAGAAATAGCAGCTGGTCTAATTGGTGCTGAAGAAGCATCCTGTGACGGTCTGTTTGTGGCGTAACCGCTACCACGAGCTGCAGGTACGTCGTGGTTGTGTTTCCCTTCGTAGGTTGTGATCACGGCTCTCATGTCGTGTGATGCTCTCTCAACATGTTTCCTCACTGGACAACCGACGGTTGTGCACTTGTAGTAGCTTCTGTTAAGATTCATCAAAAGTCCAAAAGGAAACACAAAAAGGTCAGATTCTTAAAGCCTTAATTAACTGTGTTTAGAGAGAATAGCTCAAATGTTTATGTTGTTATATTATTATTACCTTGGATTTGGGTTTCCCTTGACGACTTTTTGGCCGTATTTTCTCCACCTGTAACCATCATCAAGAATGTCGATATCACTTGTTGTCTGCACGACAATTCTCGGCTCTCTCACTGTCTTGCTTCCATTACCATTCCCACCGTTTGTTTCATTTTCTCCTTTCCTGAAACAGAAACATTCATAAAGTTAGAAACTTTCTTATTCTAGATTGTTTAAAGAGTAGGCGAGTTTAAGCCAGTGATGGATGATGATGATCTGTACCATCTCTTTGCTTCAGGTTCACTCCCACAATCTTCTTCTTCTCTGCTGATAACAGATGAGCCTCGCTCGAACTCATCGTCTCCAACAGAACCAGAGGTAGTATTACCATCTTGTTGGATTGCGAAGGAATCAGAGTTATGGAAGCTATTATTGGAATTGGGTTGATCAGAAGAACCATGATGATCGAGGCTGGCATTATACACAGCTGAATGAAATGTCGCAGAAGAAGATGATCTTCTAGTGGACTGAGGCTTGGGATGGTTATGGCTTCCCTTATACACAATCTCTGTTATCTGACCTTCCAAAGATCTCTCCACTTTCTTCTTCGTTGGACAACTTGGGAAAGTACACTTATAGTAACTCCGAGGATTCTCGCTACCTTTCACCTGTTTCTGTCCGTACTTTCTCCAGTTATAGCCGTCTTCTCCTTTCCTCTGCTCCCTTCCATTGTAAGATGCAGCTTGAGTGTTTGGACGAGTCTCGGTTTGGCTCCATTGATCTGACTGGTTCTTCCTCTGTTGTTCCTAAAACACAAAACATTATCTATTTAAGGAAAATCGATGAAAATAAAAGGGATTTAGAAGATTGAGCTGCTGAGGAACATACCTGCGGTTGAAAGATAGAACTGTTTGTTGTTGTCGTTGTTGTTGTTGTTGTTGTTGTCGGAGCAGAAACTCCTGAGGATTGTGTCTGGAATGAGAAATCGAAGAAGTTAAAGTTGTTGTTCTTCTTCTTCTCTTCTTCATTTATACTTTTCTGGTTACTTTCGTTTGTGATAAGAGCTCCTGTGGTTGGTGAAGCAAGAACCTGCAAAATCACCCAATCATTATATTATTAATCATTTACTCTGCGTTGAAAAACTTTCTATCAAATTAGGGGTTTTCAGATAAATTAGGGATTTTGCTCAGAATTCAAGATGTGAGGTAAAAAGAAAACCAATAATTAAGAAACATAACCTGAGAATAGAATTGATAATGACTTTGAAACTCTCTCTATCCAAAAAAAATATTACTAAAGAAATCGTTGACCAATGACTTTATCACTTCCGATCAGAATTCATTTTCTTGAATACCAGATGTTAAACTAATCAAGAACAGGGAATCAAGCCCAGATGATCAACAGAGCAAATTCTCTTGTAAAGAAAAAATGAATAAAACAGAGAGGCTTACGTTAGCAGAGGAGGCGACAAAAGCAGGGGAATCGAGGAAAACAGAGGGGCTGAAACAAGTGGAAGGAGAGACAAGAGAAGGAGAGGTGGAGATTGAAGAAGGAGCAAAAGATCTGAACTTTGGGATCTCAAGATCTTCCAAAGACGTTGATGTTCTTCCGGTTTGTTGTGACCAGTTAGCAGAACCACTCATGTTTTGTCTGGTTCTGCTATTATCCATAGTAAGTAGAGAAGAAGCGGCCATACAGAGAATGAAAGTTTTTCTTTTATTATGAAAGATTGATTTCTGATATTTATAGAAAAGTGTTCAAGAGAGAGCTTAAAGAAGGGGACGAAGAAGAAAGAAAAAAGAAAGAGAGATGTGATGGGTTTTCTTGCAATGTTTATGTAATATTGTTCGTTATGTCTGTATATATAAAACATATTGCACGGTCTGATTGGTGAATTTTTTTTTTTCTTTTCTATTTTGTTTTTTTTTTATGGCACAAACGAAATAAAAAGAGTGTAAATTTCTGAGAAGGTGATCAAAAGTTTGACCGTTGAAAAGATTAGAAGATGGAGAAGAAGAAGAGATGGTCAGACCTTGTGGCCTTGACTTTGAACGGATTTTATATCAGAGGCGGCTTCAAATCAGCTTCACGCTTTCATCATCTTAGGATGCCTTTCTTACTGCCACGTGTAAATATTTTTTTTGTTATTCAGTTTCATTTGGATGAATGTATTATGTATAATCACTTCAAACATTTGGGAATCTTGTGAAATTTTTGACTGTTTCAGTAGGTAGTAGAAAGGGTCCTCTCTTTTTTATTAAAAAAAAAAAGCACATGAGTAAAAAGATTATTAGTATTAGGAGTGAATAATTAGCTAAAATCTTCGAACTAAAGTGGATATTTTTTATTCCATGTGCGGCAGCTACTTGGTTTCAATTTGCATTTTGGTTGAAATGTTAAGATATTTTATTACAGCATAACCCTGTTTAACCTGTTACAAAGTATTTTTGGAGAGACAAAACGTTTTTTAACCCTAATATCTGAGCTAGGTTTAGGAAACAAAATGCACATAACTGAAGTATATTTGGATCTTTTCGCCGGTTGTTTGGTTTCAATCTATTTGTTAGAAAGTTACTGTTACCATGTTTGAGATATATATTTTCTTCTTGAAAAATTGCATAAGTTCTCGACCAAATTACTACAAATAGACAAAAGTTTGAAATTTCTATTGTTAAATTTTTCCATGATAACATTATAATTCCACTATAAGAAATATCTGCTAACACATTTCAGGAAATTTCGCCAGGGAATTTTACTTTTTAATGTCAAATGTATTTGGCATCATTATATACATTTTGTTTTCGAATAACTCTTGGGGTGCACGTAACTAGGATATTTTCAGTTTCTCTATTCTTTTTCATTGACACTTATGATTGCGATAGGAGTTTAATGGATCCATACTTTCTATTAATTATTGTGCTTTTAACAAAAATATTGTGATTTGATAACTTGTGCTCAACGCTTGTATGAAAAGGCGAGACCTGGAGCCTCTCTCTCAATGCAATGTCAAGAAAGTGATGGTGTTGCGTCTATTAAGTGCACATAGACCACAAGGTCCACAATGTTTCAAGAGTATAGCATATATGTGACCAGGGGACAATTTGAGCCCAAAAGCCCAAGAGTAAAAGGGCCTCTCATATTCTGGTACACGTGTGTAACGTCTACGGCCAACACACGTACACAGACGTGGCAATGTTTGCTTCCTGAAGCATCATCATTTAATAGTTAATTAAAAAATATTTGGCACAACAATAATAAAGCAAGTGAGAAATATACATCGTAGCTTTTGCATTTTCAAAATATCTCCTCTGTAAACGGCAGCGTTTTAAGATTCCTGATGCAAGAGAGTGACTCATCGCGACGGTCGTCGGGGTCTCTGACGGATCGGGTGAAGAGGAACTGTTTATCCATGGCAGTCACGTTTCAGGAAGGTTTTAGCTACGTCAAAGCCTTTTTTGTCGGCCAGGTACATCTATAGCACGAACATCGTTTTAAAATTGTATATTTATCATCACTTACAATTTTAAGCTCCCGTGTGGTTCGAGCCACTGAAGCAAAGCGGATTCATGGCCATGGGTCTTGATTCTTGAATCATGATCACATGCTTAACTTTATATATATATATATATATTTTTAATTAATCCATCAGAAATCAAAATACTCATGTGTCACTGTCATATATTCTGACTTACCGCGTTGCTATCGGAACAGTCACATATAAGCTTCAAATAGTTTCATATTGCTATGGTCAAATACGAGAACCTGCTCAAAACTTTTTTACTTTTGTGTTTATTATTATAATAATAATCAGTAATTTAAATGCACTCGATTTATACTAATCAAGATATAGTTGTTTAATTTGAGTAAATCTTGATTCGTGTTTTTTTTTCTGTGGTGTGGAAGACAAAGAGGTTGACGGCGAAGAACGAGAGAGAAGCTACAGAGGCTCATCTAACAGAGACAAAAATGCAAGTTGAAGCAACGGATGAAGCAGAAAACGCCAAGAAGAGACTTCATCAACAACCTTCTTAATGTTTTTAGTTATTATATGTGTGTTAATTTTCTTAAAACTAATTATAATGTGTACTTAATATATTGATTACATTTGAATCCTTTTTTTCGAAAAAATGTTAAATGGAGAATACTACGTGGTTTACTCGCACGAATAAAAGAAACTGAAGAATACTACTTTTGCATGATACAACTTGACAAGCTTGAGTCTATCAAATAAAGAGTGCTAATTCCAAACTACTGAACGAAATGGTTTTTAAAAATTAACTAAGATAATTAAAACAAAATGTAACAATTTGTGAAGTCATTTCAATGAAATTACCATTTTAGGATATTGATTATCCATGCAATGTAATGGCGCATTACGCAACATCACACATATTTACATGTTTCCACGAGAAGGGAGTAACTTGAATATACAATTGTTCAGTAAAGGAATCTTCTCAAAGTGAAAAAGATGGTTTCGGATTCGGTAGAGATGAAATGTATACAGTAATCCTGCTAACGTTACCGTGGAGAATGAGATCATCGTCAATATCCAGAAATCCTGTAATCACAAATACACATTATGATTTTGATTGGTTTCAAACACAACTTAATTCATCAAAAAGAAAAAAGATTCACATTATTGAAATATAGTTAAGAAGGTAAGTGGACTTTAATCACCTTTGGGTTGGATACAACAATACCCAATAGATATGCCATCAAGTCAAGAGCCGACTGCAACGAGTTTTGAACACCTCCAACCACACAACGGTCGGATTCTGAAACTGAATCCTAATTAAGACAAGACATTATACCAAAAGATTATTATAATTAAGTACTCTCTAAAAACAAACGCACTACAATAACCATATAAATGAAAAAAATGTTTAACATACCTGCATTTGTTGAATAACTGCAAGATCAAACATCCAGAGGCCAAGCCTGGAAGCAGCAACTCCTGCCATGAGCATGTATGATGCTATTTTATCTCTCTTAACCCAAATCGATCCAACGCATATCAAAAGGCAGCTCCACTGCAAGAACAACATGGTCAGGTTCTACACATTCATATGATGCACATTTACACAAAACTAAAGGCTATATATGTAACAAACAATGTCAAAAAAAGACTTGGTTATATAACTCTTTCTTTCAAATGTATTATCGGATATCCAAGTTTAATAATATACCTGAGACCAGAAGGACCAGAGTCCGGTTCTAAGCGTAGAGATACGAGACTGCATCAGAGGATACACGACCGTAGCAGCTAGACCAACCGTGGCACTTATTCCCCTGCCTATACCGATGATATATGTAGGTATCCCTTCCCACTGCAACGTAGCCGTCATCAACGTTCCAAAGCTGTGTGTCAAGGCGTGTGAAATAGTTCAGATAAACCACCGGATAATTCATCAACAAAATGCGGAACATTAAGAGAAAAAGAAAGAAAACCTGAGGACAGTGAAGAACAAGAGAGCTAGAGAAACCCCTGGGAGTACAACTTCTTGATTGATATAAACTCTCCACGCGCCAACAAAAGAAGATTCAGATATTCTATCAAGAATCTTCAGCTTTCCGGTTCTACACGGTGGGGCTCCATGATGAGAACCCTCCTCGGTTCCAGGAACGACGGAAACAGAAACAGGTGCGTCTGTTTCTTCTACTGGCTTTCTCCGGGAGCGCAAGATCCGTCTCTCGTTGCTTTGTGTTATCGCAGGAACACCTTTATACACATACATGAAGAGCCAATACTCGATCCAAGCGGTTATAGTGGCCCAAGCTGCAAAAGTGATCGCTGAAGCCTTCAGAGAGACGAAGCTAATGATCAGACCGGTGATGACTGGAGAGAGTAGCTTCGAGCTCAAATCAATGCCTCTAATGACAGAATTCATTCTTGTCAGTACAGCTTGTGGATGACCTTCCGATATAACCACAGCCCTTTTTTAATAAAAAAAAATAACACAAAAATTAAACTTGAATGAAACGGTACTAATACTATTAGGTGTTAAATTTTTTCACTTTTTCCACACTAAATCTAAAGTCTAAACAACATTACCAGTCTCTTTCGATGAGAATAGTGCCACCGAGAGTCGAAAGCACTCCTATGGCGCCAGAAACATTCGTCAACACAATCAAGGTTGCAAAAACCGGGATGTTATGGGACTTGAGATCAGAAACTAGCAAAAGCTTGATGACTGCACCACCAGCAACGGTGTAGGAGAGGTTCTGACACACGAGCCAGAGTCTGAGAACTTTAACATAGTCCATTCCTTCGATCCATTGCCCAACAATGGGGCCAAAGACTGCAGTGGAACCAGATTCTATGGCGCCGTAAATAGCTGCGAGAAGCAGAGAGTTTGGCCACAAGTAGATCATATACAGAGCAACTGAGAATTCCCAAGTTCTGCATCACACAACCAAGAAACTCATCTTCAAGGCTTAGTTTCAAATATGAAGTATAACACTATGGAGAAGGTTTCAAAAATGAAGGCTTAGTTTCTTTTTTGCCTCATCCAAGATTCCAAATCAATTAAGAAATCCAGAATAAAAAGAGTTTATTTTTTACTGTAAAACTAATCCAACCTTCAATATTGGAACATGTTGTCCGGAAACAAAACAAAACAATAACGAGATTGAAGGTTTTTGTATAAACCTGGCACTCCATCTTGCAAGAAAATATCCAACGTATAGAGATATCACTAAACGACGTCGTAATGGTGGTGGTGGGTTTTGTGGCTGCCCTTCTCCTCCTTCTTCTCCACGTTGTTGTTCTTCCTCCTGTTGAACAACCCTCGCTTCTGTCTCATTCTCCATTTTCTGCTAAGAAAGATTTCAAATCGATTCACACTGTTCATTATGTATTTGAAAGCTTCTCCAGAATTCCAAGTGATTTCTGTTGTTAGTTTTGTTTTTATAGGCAAACATTTGCATGTGTGTGAGTGTGAGTGTGTAACAAAGTCCTTCCTCGAAGAAGATCGATCTAGAGAAATCCGATAAATAAGAATTCCCATATACAATAATCAATCAATAAAAAAACAAAAAACAATGATTCTAGGAATAAATCAATCGGAAAATCCTCCAAAACCGACAGAAAGTAAGAAATAAAACCTTACTTCTGCGCCGCACACGAGCTTGTAGATAATGAGTGATGGAAACAGAATCGTTGAAACTCAGGATTGCTTTTTCCTTCTAGGCTTATAATCTTGTTATTATTGGTGATATCAAAAAATGAAATTCTTTCGGTGGAAGAATAACAATATTTTCCCATTTGTGTCAAAAGAGTATAGTGGCACGAGTAAAGAGTGATCAAAGAAGAAGAAAGATAAAATTTGAGGGGAATGAAAATGTTGAGAAATCATTTTATGGTTTAGAAATTGAATTTGGTTTAAGAAACAAACCAGTCTGAAGCATGACAACACACAAAAAAAAAAATCATAAACAAGACTCCCTTGGCTTTAGTTCCAATAATTTTTGGTCTTTAAGAACTGTAGTTTATGTTAATTATAAATCAGTTGTGCTTGTTAGTCATTATATAAACTTTTAATTGTAGTCTTGATGCATTATTGCAGGCATGTAATTACGGGATGATGGGATAACATTGCATACTCTCTCATGCTGGCATAAGAATAACTAATGCCAAGGTTCACACATATAGTAGAGCCAAGAATATGTTTTGCAACTTATTAAGATCTTCAATCAATTACACATACATGAAGGTTCTTTCTTGATAGCTATGGACATAAAAAAAGTGCTACGTTGGTGTGAAAGATTTGGTTTTCTTCATGTGATTTTAATCTTCGACAAAAAGCATAAATGGAGCTTATGGTAATCATAAATGGAGCTTCTTGTGAACTTCTCGTCCTTGCAACTTCAAGAACCCTTCTGATATTATTTTCTTTGTAAAAAAAAAAAAGAGTGCCAAAACAAAACCTCAAAAGTAAAACCTCTTTTCATTGCTATGAATCTACTACAATATATCAGCAAACCAACATAAAACAAAAAGAAAAAATTCGAGAAATTGAGAGAGAGAGAGAGAGAGAGTTACAAAATGATGTAGCAAGCAAAACATCAAAAGATTTGAGCCGAAACAAGATACTAATCGTTTATTGTTGGAACTTGGAACATCCAAGATGAGACAAAAACAGAACAAAAATATGCTCTTTTCGATTAACAATGGATCTTCTTGAGTACGGGTATGCTAATTAGAATCTGAATCTGAATCCGAGTCACTTGCGTTGTAACCTGAGAAATCAGTTCAACCAAAAAACAAAGTGTTATACTTACATCCAAAAACAAAAGGAGCAATTTTGTTGATAAACAAGAATTGAGTTTGTGATTTTATAAAAACCTGGTCGTTTATCCTTCACTTTCCACACTGAAGAACGAATTCTTGATGCTTTCGTAATCCAAACTCTCCCCTGCGTTAATCAGGAACCAAAACTCACTTCCAAATTGCCAAAAAAAAAAGAAATCTGGAAGAGAAAAAAACTCAAACTAAAGACTTCATTCACCAAACCCTAAAAGATTTTTTGAAGGGAAGAAAAGAAGAAACCTTTCGAGCATCCTTAGGGACTCCATAGCCAGAGCAATACATCTGACCCAATAAAACCTGCATAGTGATGTTCCCAGCTTTGGCTTCCTCAAGTGTGTCATTAAACCACCGCTTCGCACAATCGGAGACCACCGCGGAAAGCGGGACGCAGCGACGGCTACTATCGCTGGTGGTGGCGGCGGCGGCTGAGGAATCTTTGTCGGAAGTCTCCATGGTGTTTGAGGAAACGGGTCGGATCGGTTTCGATGATTTGATGAATCCAGCTGCTGCAGCGGACGCTCCTCTTAGCCCTGTTTTGACGGGAATTGATTTTCCCATTTTTTTTATATATAGAATATAAAAAAAAGGAAGAAGACGGGAATTTGATTTTTCTTCTCAATCTCTACTTTTTGGTTTTTGGTTTTTGGTTTGGATTGTTCACCGAATTTTAACGGTTGTGATTTTTCTTGCGCCGATCATATTAGTTAAGACTGGTTTACGCAAATGCATATGCCTTGTCTCTCTCGACTGTGTCGATACGGTTGAGCAATCGGTTCAGATTCGGTTACTATTTGATCGGTTTTCATAGAAAGAAAACGACATTTCGGTTTAGTTTGGTTTGATATCGGTTACAATTCGGTTTGATTGTCCAAATTCAAAGGATTTGATATTCTTTTCAATCTCTTAACCAAAAGCAAATTCATCGGTTTTGATTTCGGTTTTCTGGTTGAAAAACATTTCGACTTTGCAACGACAGAAACAAAACATGGTCACTTTGCAACGACAGAAACCACATGTGATATTTGAAACATTCGCAAAAGAACGAGGAACATACGCATATGATTGAGAACAACATGTTACATAGCGCACTTAAAGAATGTTGTTCTATGAGAAAAAGAATAATAACAACAACAAAAAAACCCACACAACTTCCGTAAAACTAATACAAATTCCGGAATTTACTTACAACATGCACACACCTATAAATATAAAGTAGTATACAATATACATACATACATACATATATATAAGCGATGACAGTGTGTATTTGATGTTATGTCTGAAGTAGAAATTGTATAACCTACCTGACCCAAGCGCTTACGCACTCATCATGAAACAAGAACCAACGCAACTGAAAAGATAAACTGTGTAAAGCCAAGGGTCATGATTCAAGAATCACTCCAACTATCTGAATCTTCGTCCTCATCGCTTCCAGCCATTGCCTGCACCATTTGTCACACCGCTTTAGATGTGTGTGCGATAGAGAAACAGGGAAAGTTTATGTAATTCTATGATCAGGCCTAATAACTACTGAGATCTTTTCTCTCTATTTTTGTAAATCGAAATGCTTTAACATGAGAGTAATCGTACCTGGCGTATTGTGTTTGCTTTCTCTAAGATTGCAGCTACCCTTAAGTTCGTTTTAGGACCAGTTTGAATGCTGGGTCTTGTCGCTACTGCAGGCTTCAGACTGACGGACTGTATAAACAAAACAAGGTCATAAAAACTTCTAATCTAAAAATTCTGTTAATGACATTTAGACATTGCATGTGTAAGGTAAGAACAATGTGCGCTACCTTGTTTCGTATTTGTGCAAGCAATGAATCTTTGTCATCTTGCTTTGATTTGATTGGTGGTTGGACCCTCTCAGAGACTTTCTTCATCTGGCAAATCATTAGAACAAGGGATTTAGAGACACCTTTTTAGCAAAGGCATGGTATTGCAGACAAGATGTAAACTAATTGTTACCGTGCGTCTGTCATGAGCTGCAACAGCATCGACAAGCGGACTTCTTGGCCGAGGAAGCCTAACCACAGGAACCTCCTCTGGCTTAACTGTGTCCAAAGTAGGTGCAACAGTGAATGCACTGACGGGCCACATAGCATCTCCCACTGAAGCAGGAACTATCCTCTGAACCGACGAGTTTGATGGTTCTGCTGTTTCCGCATTTGAAGCATCAGGAACTGACAGACCATTATCTTCTACCTTTGTTGGCTGAGTTGGCGTCAAAGCTTTGGTTTCAGGACAATTGTAATCACCTTCTGAGCTTTGTGAAACATGTACATCTGTGTCGTTATTGAGATCTTCATGTTTAGCTGATGGATCCTGAGGCAGCTGCAATGGCGACTCTTGTGCGTAAACGAGCTCGTGGTTCTGAGCTGCATGGTCAGCCAAAAGGTTGTTCTCTTCAGAACCAAATTCCTCTATACGCCCGTGATTAGGCATTGCAGGGAGCTCAGCAGGAAGGTCCACTGACTGAGTTCTCTGGGAGCCAAAGTTTTCGAATTGACTATTCAAATCAGTGCCAAAGGTTGGGAACTGAATGGACGATTGCAACGGCTTTTCTGATGCATTGTTCACAATATCTTCAGGAACTTGTTCTGATTTGTCACTTTCTAGGGATATAGACAGCTCTGATGGTTTAGACCCAATTTGAGTATTCAAGCTAGAACCAAAGGGTGGTGCCGACGACAGAGCAGAACTACTGGTTTCGCCTGATTCTCCCATGAAGGTCGGAGCAAAAGAATGTGGAGCCTTCCCAATACGCCATTGCATAGGAGGAAGGGGTGGGAGAGGTGGCATGTCCTCTTGATTGGGTGTAGTAATCTCAGGGATCAAACCAAAGCTGGGAAAAGTAGGATCCAGATTCAATTCCTGCTTAGGGCTGTTCGATTCTATGCCTTCTGATTGTGGTACAAACTCGAACCCCCTGAAAACACTTGACTGCTTCAATTCCTCATCTGCAAATGCAGGACTAGCACAAGGTGTTTGCACTTTAGCTAACTCCTCGATAGTCACACTCTCTAACGGGTTCAGATTATTCACTCGTAGAGAATCAATGCAGCTATCATCAGGAATGCTCTTACAAGGAGATTTGGTCTCCGTCTCTCTGTCACTTTGATCTAGAGATGTCATGGGACTTGAAGATTCACAACTTGCTAGGTCATTATTGTCTAGGGAAGTACCCAGACCTTCTGAAGACAGTTCCAGTGGGCTTTCCTGCATTTTTTTCTCAGACTCTGGGTTACTTTCTGCTGGTAGTGTCCCGTCAGACTCCACAACTGTATCATAGCAAATCTCTTCAGCTTCAGAAGACGGTTGCGTAGTATTCCTCGAAATCCAAGGCAGAGAACTGGTAGATGGCAGACTAACAGCATCGTCAACATCATTACAGGAACTGTCAGCGTGATTATCAGACTGAGCAAGCTCTACATTCGGGACAATGTCTGTGGCTGCGTTGTCCAGCCCTGGAAGGTCATGAAAGCCTTCATCATGCATATCACTGGGATGAAATTCAGCATGTATATCAGAGATCTCTTCATCGCACTTGTTATAAGTAGGTGAAGCATCTCCCACCAAATTTTCTCCTCCCGAGTTAGAATCAGAAGTCAGCTTACTATCAACTTCAGCAGGTATGGACACTCCATTCTCCAATGTGTCTACATGGGACTCTGAAACAGATACATCAGCAATGGTGCCAACGGCACATGGATGTTCATTGTAGATCTCAGCAACAGAACTTTGAGTATCAACATCAACAACTGAATTTTCAGAATCAACGTTAGCACCTGAATTTTCAGAATCAACACCAGCAACTGAACTCTGAGAATCAATGTCAGCAACTGAATTTTGAGAATCAACGCCAGAAACTGCATTAGGCACTGCAGCGCAATCGGTTTCATCGTCAAGAGTATCTTCTAAGTGAGTTTTATCTACTGTACCAGGACAACAGACTTCAGAGGGCATACCAGGTGACACTTCCATCTCCATCTCAGCTGAGCAAGGTAACAGTTCTCCAGTTAGGCTACTAGCATCACAGCTTTTACTATCGCTGCCTGAGTTTGCTAAGACTGTAGAACAAGCAACTGTAGAATTTGTCCCAACATCAATATCAGCGACGGGTAACAGCTTGCTTGTTTGAGTATCAACCATACAGTTCTTGTCAATGGTAGTATCGTGTCTGCTTCCTTCAGAAATTGAACTAATTGACGAGGTTTCAGAAATGAAGTTAGAGTTTTTCACATCAAAAGACGCACCAGATTTTGAAGAATCGATTGGATCCACCTCGCTTCCATCACTGCCATCAAGTCTAACAAGTTCTGGAGAAGTTTCAATGACTTCTGGTGCTAAAAATTGACCATTTAGTGAACATGATTCAGCATCCTGAGAGACTGGCCTTGGATTTGAACATGTATCACCCGAACTAAATGATGTTCGGCCATCTGCATTGCTGTTACTAACTGATTCCTCAACATTAAAATCACGAGACACTTTGTTCGCTTCAGGAGTCGCATGAGACGTGGAATCCATCAGCTCACTCTTAATACTAGAAGTAGAAGGTAAACGTCCAGAAATTTTCTCTCCATCAGATTGATCATCAATGGATACGCTTGCAGTATCCGAGTAAGAAAAAGTAGAGCTCCGTTTCCCAAACGAGTTTTGCCCATTTTCTGACACTGGCGTGTTTCCAACTGAATGTAAAAACGAAAACTGAGGTGGGTCCTCCATCTTCTCTTCATCCGCATCAGAATATGTGTGATGATCCGCATCCTTCGAAGCACCTGACATATCCTTAGGCCTACCACACTCGTCTTCTGTTTCTGTTTCAGACTCCATGGTGGCTGGTGCATCCACGTAATTTTCAGCCTCACTGGTCAAATCTTCAGAATAACTCCTCTGTTGAAGGAATCCTGGCTTGCCATTCAAATCAGTCTGTGCATCCTTTGTAATAGTTGTACCATGGAACTCATTGGGTGTAGATTCAGGCACAGTCTCTATGTCTTTTTCGATAAAGCCCACATTTTCTTGCTCGTTTGGTAATGAAACCTCTGCTCTGCTTCCTCCGTGGGACTTTTCCGGAGCATCCACCATACTGATGATTTTAGGTACATCGGTTGCTACGTCTCTAGCACTATCCATATTCCATGTCGACAATTCATAACCTGTTTTAGTATCCACAGAAGTCTGCACAAATCTCCCCATGTAGCTTTCCCCTGATTTCGAAATAAGGGAATATCCATCCAGCTTTCTAGTTTTCAGCTTCACAACTCGTGCTGGATCTGACTGATGACGAGCCTCTAAATGCTCCTCCAAAAATAATTCATGCAATCTGTGCCAGTTGAATTTTTTTGAAGCAACTAAATTCAATTATAGGAACTTAAGGAACTAAATATATCTCATAACAGATATAACAAACATACAAGACATAAAATAGAGAATACCCACTTGGCATGTGATGTTAGTGCATTTTCAGGTGTTCCTCCATTCCTCCAGTGAGATGCTCTCCTCTGCACACATTGGAAGATAAGATTACAGGACCTGTCTAAGTTTAATGGTACGCTTAGACAAGATCTACTTTTTTCAGCAAATCTACCAAGAAACAAAAATAAAACCAATAAGAGGAACACACTGCAACCCACAAGATAGAGTCTGAAGTAAGAAAGCTTCCTCTTTCGGAAGTAGTACTACCTTTGCTTTCTGTGATTTCTTCTCTCTCTGAATATCATCCCATGATGCTTCATATGAAGATGTTTCGTGCCTAACAAATGACGGATCGGTGTAGCGTTTCAAGCATGCCCCAGCTCCCGAAATATCAAATCTAATAAAAACCATACGAAATATGTTATCTCCACCTCAGCTCTCATAGACGACTAGAGAAAATAAAAGATTACAAAACAAGTCAAACTCATACTTGTCCAGAAGAAACAGCCTCGGGGGACCCCGACATTCCTCGTAAGAATCCATTACACAACGCGGTAAGTCACCACGCGTAACCACACTCTGTTCCAGTTGCAAATTCGAATGCCATTCCACACCTGAAATAGAGTTGGAGAGTCGCTTCAACTAATTCACAGCCGACCAGATCATATAATGTTCATGGCAAAGAAACAACAACAATACAGGCAAGATGTTATTTCTATGACATGTAGACAAAGCAAAATTGTGCGAACTGGGAAAAAAAAGGTACTTTCAGGACTAAAATGGCATAAAGATCATGCAAATCAGCATAATAGACAAAAGCTACCATCGACTTTATTGCTCTCGACTAGAGTCAAACATAGTACCGCACAAAGAAGCGAGGATCAAGGTCCGACCTTTATTAGAGAAAAACGGTGAATGATCGGTCTGGCACAGTAATGCCTTCTCCACGAAAGGGAACTCAGCTTCGAGCTGTTGAACACGAGCCATAAGACCGTGGCTTCTAGACGCAGTTGCCATTACTTCTTCGTGCAGGTCATGGAACATCTCAGCAGCAAACCTTCATCACAAAAGTCAAATTCCGATCAAAAGTTCAAACCTTTTTTATTTCACTTACAGAACCCAATTCCTCAGATTCGTCAAACAATTCGGAAAATTTGCCGCTTTAAATCTCAAGGGTCGAAAATTGTGGATTCCAGAATTCCGAATTCAACGCGATTTTGAGCTCAATTACTGAAATTCACGACACCAAAGAGGAGAATAGAGAGAAACTTACTCGGCGAGATCACCGAGCTGACGCAAGATGCCGACGAGGCCAGCCATGGCGACACCTTCGAGCAGAGCTTCGGGGTCATCCTTATCGGCGGCTTGATACAGATCCGGATCTGCTAATCCGTACTCGTTCCTAGCTTGGTACCTCGTCAACGGCATTGCTGACCCTTTTTTTTTTAATCAGCTCCTTAACACTTTTGCTTGTTCAATCGAAGAAGATGAAGAAGAAGTTTTTAGAACGAAGAAAAGCTACCACCAAGCTCCTAGTACTCTCCGACTATCTCTCTCCTCTCTCTCCATTGAATATGTGGCCGCCCACATTTAAGACCTTTTACATAAGTGACGCCATCACTTTCCGGAGCACAAACGGACTTTCTGTGGATTCTATTCGAGCGGCGGATGGTGAAACGGACAGAGAGAGAGAGAGAGAAACTGGGAATAGACGCCAAAAGATTTGAGAAATGGTCTTAAAATTTTCCTTTTATTAAAATTAATTAAATAAAGTAAAACATGATAACTCAACTAATTATTGTTCCTTTATTTGATAAATGAAGGATCCATGCCTAGATCATTGATTACACAGGTTGTTGTTCTTCAGGCAGAAGACTACAAGAGCTCTACAAAGTCTTAACATTTGCTTGAAACAGTTTTACTCTTATTGTTGTTGTTCAAGATCTTACATATGTACTCTCTCTTTTCACAATATAGAATAATGAAATTCTAACATAATATCATGCGTCTCACGCTTTGTGACGCTTTAGCCTAGATATATACCCCAAAATCAAATCTTGTGGTTGCAAAATAAAAATTTAATCATTGCATGCGATGATGAAGTTTACCATTTCACTAGTTTTTGACAAGAAAAATATTGATATACTAGTACTAAACAATAGATGCCTTTATCTAAACAAAAATTTTAATTAAGTTTTTTGAAGAAACCGAGGAGTCATATAGAAAAGAAAAAAAAGAACCAAGAGTCTCTTGGAGTTCTTCACTGTTTTTTTTTGCATGCACGCTGAGTACGTTTTCATCTTCTTCTTTTATAGTACTTACTTATTAGCTCGTTACTCCTTTAGCAACCATTCAAAAAACATATGTTTTTGTTATCACTGAAAAATCTAAGGTCGTTTTCTTGAATTTCCCTGAGATGTGATTTCTCCGTAAGCTTACTAAGCATAGTATCCTCTCTGACGAGTCATTGTTTCTTCTTTTTCCTTTTGCGAGTTTCAGGTTCAGCTATGTCTTATATTCCTCCACATAAGCGACATTTGAAGGATCCGTTGACACCTACGCCTCTTCCAGATTATCTTATTACAAAATCCAAGAAAAAAACTGACTTCAAGAGTATCAGCAGTGCTATAGGCAATGTTATTGCATATTCAAGAGATGCCATTTCCAAATGGTTTCTTATTGGTTCAAATGGAACAGAGTATGAGGTTCCCTCATCTCTCAGTCTCGTGCCCCTATCCTCGGATTTTGAAGCATGCATATATGGAGAGAAACCTTTGGTATTGATGATCAACAATGTCCAAAAAGGTATCACTGCTGTGACTATTTATCTTACTACCATGATTAATCCTCCATTAAGTTTAGTTTTATTATGTTTATATTCAGAAAATATGATAACCGAAGGCAGTGAAGAAGAAGAAGAGAGAACTCGGTGGATGTTAGTAGTAGCAGAGAAGGTTGAAAAGGATCTTGTCTTGGCATATGAGCAAGCTAAGAAGGGAATGGAGGATCACAATCATGTTTATAATGATAAATTGAGATTGGTTGCTAGGCTTGGTAAAATCCTCTTCCGTAGGTAAAAAGCATTTCAGATTTACATTTTGTTTCTTCAACAAATATCAATATCACTTTTTTTTCCCTAATATATACTACATTAAAAAACTAGGCTTCAAGCTGGCCCTGTGGCTGAACGTTCGCTAAGAAACTCTGTTAAGGTGTTTACTACAAATGTACCAACTTCTTACATACAAAACATCAAGTCTAAGGCTGTACCAAGGCATGAGTTCTGTCTAGTCGAGGAAAAAGTTACATACATTCTGAAGGTAGAGCATTATACTCTTCCCGATGCAACCATTTACTGTAAATGTACCATGAAGGAAGATGGACGGCTCAGTATGTACAAGGCAAGTCTTGAGTACAATATCTTTTTTAGAAATATTATTTTTAGGAAGATGGACGGCTTCAGTATATATGTACTAGTTTCGTCTTGTAACATCTGCCATTAAAACTTTGTATTGCACAGGCTGAGATTAGACCTGTAAGGCATTTGGTTGTTGATGTGTCCTGCATCGATAAGAATCTTGACATGAGGCTTATGCTGGCCGGAAGAAGGAAAATAAAGACTCTGACGGTGAGTTGATTTTTGAGTCTGAATAATAGTTTGTAGTATGCCACTCTTGAACTCAATCAGTCTTTCTACGATGGGCAGGAGAAAGAGATAAGTAACATTCAAGAACTACTGGATTCAGCGACTGTTGATCCGAATGTGAAAGGCAGATTAAGGTGGCCGCTTGGTAAAACTTCATCAGGGGATGGATACAGTGTATTTGACGTTTGTCACGTTAGAGCTACTACCTACAAAAACCAGACCCTCGGGCTGAAGATTAGGGAGGCTGATAGATTTAATGTGAGGTTTGGAACAGAAGAAATCGAGAAGGGTGTGACACTGATACTTCAAGACATGAACATTAAGCTACAGGTAAAACTTTTGTGATTTTTTTTTGCATATTTTTGAAACTCTATTAGAAATGAGAGCGTGATTATGTAGTATGATTTATTAGTGTATCCTTTTGGTCTGCAGGAGCAGAACATTGAGAGTGTTTGTGTTTCAGAAATGCTCCGAGATGCTCTTGGAACCATATGGGACTTCTTGCAGTACGATGATGCCTTTTGAGTAAAGAACCATATGATGATGATCTTGCTGGTGCTTTTGGGCTTCTCACTCTCTTTTACATTCGGCTTTGTTATGCTTTGAACTTGTGTTTTGTTGTATCCACGTTAATCGGTGTAGATGGGCTGGGCCGGCCTGGCCTGATCTTTTCAGATTTGAGTTTAAACCGGGTTTTCTAGAAGCTTTTAATACAATTGTTTCAATCTGCAGACGGTTTAGTCCGCTGCAACCCATTTCAAACAAAACTAGGAAATTGACCCGCACACATGTGCGGATATGTGTGCGGATATGAACATTTTTTAAAATATAATTATGTAAATATAATATATATAAATACAATATTTAAATTTATCTCAAATATTTTAACTTTTTATAGTACATGAAAATCAGATACAGCATTGAATTATAACTTTAAATTTAGTAGCAAATTATGGTCCAATTTTATCGTTCACCCAATCTACTTGCTGGGTAATTCCTCAATTCCACTTGTTTCCCATTCCGTATCATTCTACAATTTTTGATTTTTATACACTTATATATATGGTTTAACTAAAAATATATACATTTTGATATTACATTTTGAAATTATAGATTGAAATAAAGCATTACTCAAAAATCAGAAATTTTTTTTGAGTTTAATACAACATTGCAAATGGACCAACATGTATAATTCTTGTATGTTTCCTTGTTAACATGCCACATGCACAGATGTGTTTACTTTGAAAAAAATAAATGTGATGTGGAAATAATAAAGTGTAATGATGATGTAATTGTGACATGTCACTTTTTAGTACACATGACTTGTGACATTATATTATTTAATCCATATATAACATGATACAAAATTTAAGTATTCAAGTTTTTAACCGAAAATTTGGGAAATGATATTTTTGTCAAATAGATTTAAAATCACATTTTCGACACAAAACTTTGGTCAGAAAATTTACAGATTTCAAGAATTTGACAGAAAATTTGTGGCAATCTATTTTGGCCTAAAGTTTTTGATATCACAATTTGAATATAAATTTTTTGAAATAACAATTTCTGGCGAAAAAAACGCGAAATAAATTATTGACGATTTTTTTTAATCACATTTATAAAGTAATTTTTTGACACACAATTTATGTATTCAATTCATTGACGGAAAACTTTTTTAACAAAATCATATTTTTGATATATAATTCACATTTTTGGCATAAAACTTATGATTCAAAATATCTGGCCACGAAATCAAATTAAAATCCTCTAAAATAAATGTTTTGGTGGGAAAGTTACAATTTTATATTTTTGGCAGAAAATTTATAAAATCAGGTTTTCACAGAAGTTTTTGGAATCATATTTTTAATGTAAAGTTTTTGGCAATTTTTTTTACTGAATTCACTTTTTCGCGGGATATTCACAAAATCAAAATATTTACAAGTTGAAGTGTTTGTGTGAAATTTACAGAATCAGATTATTAGAAAGAGTATTTATTCTTTTTTATTTTCATCCTATCTTGTCTCACTATAAATAAAGAATAAAAGTTTATATTATATGTGAATTTATTCTAATTATATAGCGAAAATTACGAACCAGGAACGGGGCGAAAAGTGATGGAATGAGATTAAAAAACTATAAAAATAGTTGATTATGAATAAAAAATAGAAAACGAAGAATCATTTAATTTTATTTTAAGATTTTTTAAAATATTTTACAAATATATTTTTTTATTTTTGCTATGTACAATTTCTCAAACCTATTAAGTCATTTTTCACGAACTAAAATTTTTTACAAATATATTACTGAATAAGTCAATCACTTATTTATTATGAATTATATATATTAATATTAATTAATTTTTACTAATTTTTTTATGCCTGCACAAATGTGTGGGGTTATTAAAGCTTGATGGATAAAAATATTTTGTGTGGTATGGAATTATATAAGAAACATATTAGTTACTTTTATGAAAACTATAATGATGAAGATTTATAGGCGTATACACAATGTGATGAGTTCAAATAATAAAATTTCTATTTCAAATACGAAAAAAATTTTTCTTTCGATATAGTTTGACTTTCTAGTGTATAAAATATAATTTTTTTACTGTAGCCTTTCCACAACTCTTATATCATGATTTGGAAGAATCATTAATTAGTACTTTCATATTCTACAACACTCAAAATTTCGGCCAATATTTTCAAGAAACTGATGTTGATTCTAGTACGATCATTTCAGTATAAACCGGAATTTTGATCATTTCAGTATATAATAGTAGAAGACATAAGAACCTATGGGAGAGTTTGTTAAATAGTTAGGTCAGTGTTTCCATTTTTTCTGTTTCTTCTCGATCATAGAGTCTACAAGATTTTCTTTTTGGTAAACTGATCGTAGCTCAGATTTGTACAAAAAGTAACTATTACTTTCTCCAATATGTTAATAGTAACATACTGACGATGCTTCATTTCATTATTACAAACTTGAAATAATCATATCGCAAGAGGTAACACATATTAATTATTCTCTACAAAGCTTGATCTTCACTTTTATTTTGTTTCTTACTTTGTCTATTTTCTTCATATGAAAGTTGTTGCCTTTCTTGTTCTAATTTATATTAATAATTAAATATTTTCTGTTTTCATAAAACAATTATTTGAACTAAAATAAATTAAACACAGAAATATTTTTTGCCATGTCATAATCCACATGTGTTTGTATATGCCAAGTCACAATTACATCATCATTACACATCATCATTTCCATGTCACATTTAATTAGGTTGGATTGATGTTTATAACCAATGAAATTAAAACAAGTAAGCATAATTCATTAAACTATATTGTCAATTAATAGGTAAGAGATTGCAAAAGCGAAGAGAACTTAAATCCAATTAAAAATAAAGTAAAAAGAAAAAGAATTGACATGATTGACATATACGAGAGTCTATGATGGTCATCGAAACCAAACACAATTTGTATTAAAGTTTTGAAGAAGCCGATGAGTCAATTGAAAGATAATAAAGGGAGCCAAGAGTCTCTTCTTGAAATTCACTTTCCTCCTTCAAGATTTTTCTGCAGGAACTTGAGAAGACGTTGAGTAGACGAAAGGGTATGATCTCTCTCTTAAGCTCCTTTTGATTCTATATTCTGTAATCACTGAAAAATCAGTCGTCGTTGACTCGTTGTTTTCTACTGTTTCCCTAAGATGTGATTTCTCTCAGTAATCCTGTTAATAGTTTCCTCTCTGAGCTCCAAATTCTAGCCGAGTGAATAATTATTCTTGAATTTTTCTTTTTCTTTCTTTTGGGGAGTTTCAGGTTCAGACATGTCTTATATTCCTCCACATAAGTGACACTCGAAGGATCCGGACAAACCTTCCCCTGTTCCAGATTCTCTTGTTATGAAATTCAAGAAAAACCTTCACTTTAGCAGTAGCAGTGATAAGTGCGGCCGTATCGTGTACTCAGGAGATTCCATCTCCAAATGGTTTCTTACTGGTTCAGATGGAATTGAGGATGAGATTCCTCCATATGTTAAGCTTGTTCCTTTGACCTCGGATTCTGTCGAATGCAAAAAAGGCGAAAAGCCGTCAATACTGATGAACAACAATGTCCCAAAAGGTAAGACACTGTGTTTGTTAGTGTCTTAACGCAGAATCTTGACTTTGGCTATATGGTGTAGCTAGATATTTAGAAATATTACAAATATCATTTACTATCTATTTTATTATTTATATAATTTCCTTTTATTATTTTAGGATTTTCTAGAGTTTTCTAAGGTTTTCTATAGATTTTAGATTTCTTAGATAAAGCCGTTTAGGCCTAATGTATTATTCAGTTGTTAATTTTTTAATAAAGAGCTTTGGCTTTTGAGAGAGTATCCTCTATTCCTTGTTTTTGGCAGATCTATTGAGATCTCAACGAGTTCAAGAAACAGGTCCCAAGTGCGGATTCCGTTGAATCCCTTGGTTGAGCTGGCAGGTCCCAATGATTCCTTGAATCTTTTGGTTGAGCTGTTTTATTAATTAATCTGAAAACTTTCGACAAAAGGAGATTTTTTAAAAGAAGTTTTGATAAACCACTGTGAAGAGTATTCACAAACCCTAGTTTCCGGGTATTCTCAGATCAACGGATCTAGTTCTATCTGTAGTAGCTTCTCCTTCATCAGTTGGTATCAGAGACACAACCTTTGATTTCTAAATCAGGGTTCGATTCTGGATGTCATGTTGATTGACCGGTGCAATACCTATCCTTTTGTCGAAAAAGAAGATAACCATGAGATCTATCGAGAGATCTATGGCGAACCGATCTACGACGTATATGCAGAAGATGTTATTGAAGATGATGCTTTTGAGAAACAAATATGTGCACAATCCGGGTGAAATCAAATCGGTGCAAATTTTGGGCGTGATTTGATTGGTGCAAATTTCGTGAAGAATCCGACGCGTGCAAACTTCGGGCAGAATCGATGGTGTTCGAAATCGAGAGAGATCTGTGGCGAATTAGGTTTGTGCAAAATCTGTGCATATCCGGGTCGTGCAGAATCTGTGCAAAATCTGGTTTGTGCAAATTTCGGTCAAAATCCGGTTTATGTAAACCGCATGAAAAATCCGATCCGTGCAAAGTCCGTGCAGAACCAAGACAAACAGATTTATGATGTATTCGGTCTGTGCAAAACCGGTGAAGATTACATAATATCAGGTTGTGCAGAATCCGTGGAAGGTTCGGTTGGTTCAAATGCAAGATTTTATCAATGGAAGATTAGAAAAAAGGAACGAAAATTATTGAATGATTTTTGTGGAAGGAGTTTTGGAATCGAAGACCACGGCTAAGATTCGAGGACGAATCTTCTCCAACCCGGAGAGAATGGTGTAGCTAAATATTTGGAAATATTCCAAATATCATGTATTATCTATTTTATTATTTATATAATTTCCTTTTATTATTTTAGGATTTTCTAGAGTTTTCTAAGGTTTTCTATAGATTTTAGATTTCTTAGATAAAGCCGTTTAGGCCTAATGTATTATTCAGTTGTTAATTTTTTAATAAAGAGCTTTGGCTTTTGAGAGAGTATTCTCTATTCCTTATTTTCGGCAGATCTATTGAGATCTCAACGAGTTCAAGAAGCAGGTCCCAAGTGCGGATTCCGTTGAATCCCTTGGTTGAGCTGGCAGGTCCCAATCGATTCCTTGAATCCTTTGGTTGAGCTGTTTTATCGTTGCTTCGATTACATCACTATGTGTCCTTACAGAACGAACAACTGTTGTGAATAGTGTTTTGCTAGTGTTATCTATGATTGTTCTTGCCAATAGAAGATGATGCATTGTGTTTATTTTAGTGTTATTTTTCAAATGCGTATATTAAATGAATATGAATATTGCAGAGAGTGAAGAAGAAGAGAGAAGTCAGTGGCTTTTAGTAGCAGAGAAGGTTGAAGAGGATCTGTTGTTGGCTTATGAGCGAGCTAAGACTGCAGTGGAAGAGAATCAACATGTTTTGAGATTGACTGCTAGTTTTGGTAAAAATTTCTTCTATGGGTAAGCGATTCAGCGTCTGTTGTGTCATTTTGTTGCTTACAAAATAAAAGTTCCCTTCTTTTTCTAACATTATTCATCTTTAAAAAACATCCAGACGTCAAGCTGGTCCTGTGGCCGAATGTTCTCGAAAACCCTCGAATAAGGTGTTCTCTACAGATGTCCCATCTTCGTACTTTGAACACATCAAGTCTAAGGTTGTACCAAGCCATGGATTTTGTATTGACTCGGAGAAGGAAAGATACACTGTGAAGGTACTTGTTTTGCTTTCTTAGACTTGGACCTATCATTTGAATATACTATGTTACACTGGCTTCTATTCTCAGGTATCGCATTATTCTCGTCCCAATGAAACCATAAACTGTAAGTGCACCGTTAAGGAAGATGGACGTCTCAGTATGTACAAGGCAAGTCTCGAGTCCTTTGTGTGTATAATGTGATTAGAACCGTAGTAAACAACAAGATTTATGTCCCATTTTTTGGGTCTGACATGAGAAATGTAAACTAACAAACCAATAACTTCATAGGGATTTGCTGTTTTCTGAGCATATGATCCATCCCATCATTGATTTTATCTGGATCCATGCCACATTTTTACTTGATTTGTCTTCCAAAATCTTACATTGAGTCTTGCTTTTGCATAGGTCGACCTTAAACCCGTAAGGCATTTAGTTGTTGATGTATCTTGCATTGATAAGAATCTCGACATGAGACTAATGCTTACAGCCAAAAGGAAAATTACGGATCTCACTGTGAGTTGATTTTGACATAAAAAAAAAATTCTGGATAAACCTCTCTCTGTTACTTAGGCTTGGTGATCTTTCTGCGATGTGCAGGAGAAAGAGATAAGTAACATCAAAGGCCTACTGGATTCAGCGACTGTTGATCCAAATGTGAAAGGTGGTTTAAGGTGGCCGTTTGGTAAATCTTCATCAGGGGATGGATACAGAGTATTTGAAGCTTGCCACGTCTGAGCGACAATCTACAGAAACAAAACCATAAGGCTTCGGGTCAGGGAGACTGATAGATTCAAGGAGATGACTGGAAAAGGGGAGATCAAGAGAGAGGTGACTCTGATGCTTAAAGACATCAACACTAAGTTACAGGTACACTATTCTGCTGTTGTGTCTTTTGAAATTCTATTGGAAGTGAGGCTTATAGTGATTATTAGTCTTGGGGTCTGTAGGAGCAAAACATTGACAGGGGTTGTGTTTCTGGAGTGCTTCGAGATGGTCTTGGAACCCTATGGGATTTCTTGCATTGCGATTCCTATCTTTCGTAGTGAAGATTCATCTCTGGTGCTATTGTTGGGTTTTGTCTTTTACTTTTTGCTGTTTTTTTAGTACTATAATATTTTGATTTGTTTGGAATTGTTGAAGAAGGATTGAAATTGTGTGTCAAAAAAACCAAAAAAAGATGATGTGTTCTGTTACCTTCCTCTTAATCCCAATGTTTTGGTTTGTTTTGATTTGGTGTATGCATGACTCAGTTAGTTTCCTATTACTTAGGGATCTTAATCCCAATCTAAGCAGTACATTGTAAAGAATTCTCAAGTACTTTGATGGATTTGCTTAGTTGTTTCAGTAGTTTGAATATCAGGCTAGCACTTTGTCACTAGTAGAACTATTGAGTATGAAGACAGGTGCATTTCAATGTGGAACAAACAGAATATTAAGAATCTCCTCTATAAGCTTCAAGTTCAAGCTTGAAACAGAGCCGAAGAATCATTGTTCTTGAAAATCATTTGATTTTTTTTTTTTGGGAGTTTCAGGTTCAGACATGTCTTATGTTCCTCCACATCAGAGACACTCAAGGATCCGGACAAACCTTCCCCTGTTCCAGATTCTCTTGTTTCGAAATTTTACAAAAACCACCCTCGAATCAGATGTTTTTTTGACGATCTCTAAAGTTCTTACTTTCAACACATCAAGGCTAAGGTTGTACCAAGCCATGGATTCTGTATTGACTTGGAAAAGGAAAGATACGTCGTGAAGGTACTTGTTTAGTTTCCTTAGACTTGTCTTTCAGAACTTAATATGAAATATGATTTGTTGTGACTGTCTTGTGCGGTCAGGTATCGCATTCTCCTCGTCCCAATGCAACGATCAACTGTAAGTGTACCGTTAAGGAAGATGGACGTCTCAGTCTGTACAAGATGATGTGTTTTGTCACCTATGTGAACTTGGTATATGCATGATTCAGGCAACTGAAGTTTTCCTTATACTCAAAGGTCTAAAGCAGGACAATACAATATAAAGATCCCCAAACATGACACAATCAGGTTTTTCTTGTTATTTTATATCATCACGTGTGTGCAGTCTATGTACCGTTCTGGTATTGTCTTCGACCAGCTTGAACATCTGAAGCTTCAATGCCACCGCCATAATTGGTCAAAGTTACTTGTCCGGTTGCTCAATGATTCTCCTAAACTGTGAACCCTCAATCTCTTGGTCCATGTAAGTTTCTCCCAAGATTCTTTTCCGGTTTAAAAGCGTGTAATTTTAATATACTTGTCTTCTTTCTTTTACGCTCTCAGGAAACTTTTACCTACAGTGAACCGATTAGCTGGAGCAATGAACAGAGTTCGATCCCGGATATCTTTGGCTGGAAAGCCCTCAAATGTTGAAACACATGCTAAAATACCCCTGTTATGTTTGAGAATTTAATTTTGATTTTCTTTTAAATCAAAAATACAGAAAAGATATTTAAATCCAGCCATATCTTTGTTATTACAGATCCAACCTAGCAATATCCGCCCGTTTCAAATTTGATTCAAGATCCGACCCGACCCATTTAACAATAATCCATAAATCATCTTCGTGTTCTTTTCTTCAGTTTATCCGCCTCCGTCCGCCATTTAACAAAAGTTCGAGCTCCTTTAACAAAAACCTAGACACAGAGATCTCGGCGAGCCCAAAGATCCGACGACGTCGAGAGAATCAAATCCCAGAATCAAACCCAATTTTTAATTATTTGCTCTCGTTCTTCAATTTCCACCATCTCTGCACCCGCCGTTCTTCTTGGATTCCGCAGTTGTCTCCCGTGAATTCTATTATTGAGGTAATTAGAATCCACTTATCTCCTTTTCAATTATCGATAAATGCTCATTGTCTCTCCATTAAGTCTTAATTTCGACATTAATCCATTCTTAGTATTCACGGGAGAATCCATTCTTCTATACTAGTATTATTAGTATTCTCATGGCTGATCATTTTGTTGTTGATTGATCAGAGATGCCGCCGAAGACGCTTAATCTGGAGAAAAATTTGCAAAAGAAGAGCAATGTGAGGAGGAGTTCACGCCTAAATCGACCTCGGAAAGCAACTCCAACACCAAAGCCCACTCCCAAAGCAACTCCACCTCCTCCACAACCAACTCCGAAAGAAACTCCACCTCCTCCACAACTAAGTGCAGCTCCACCACAACCAACTACGAAAGAAACACTACCTCCTTCACTACCAAGTGCAAGTGCAGCTCCTCCACAACCAAGTCCACCTCCTCCACAACCAAGTGGAGACGTGAGTGAAGGGGAAAAAAAGAGTGAAGAGGAAGAAAAGAGTGAGAGTGTAGAGGAGAGTGAAGAGGAAGAAAAAAGTGAGAGTGAAGAGGAAGAAAAGAGTGAGAGTGTAGAGGAGAGTGAAGAGGAAGAAAAAAGTGAGAGTGAAGGGGAGAGTGAAGAAGAAGAAGCTACATTTTCAAAGGTTTGTATTCCATTCTTAGTTTCGTGGTATAACTATCGTATAACTAGTATTCTTATGTTCGTATAACTAGTATTATTAAGTTGATAGAACTAGTATTCTTAGTATAACTAGTATTCGTAGGTGGTATAACTAGTATTCTTAGTATAACTAGTATTCTTAGGTTGGTATAACTAGTTTTCTTAAGTTGATATAACTAGCATTCTTAGTATAACTAGTATTCTTAGGTTGGTATAACTAGTATTCTTAGTATTACTAGTATTCTTAGGTTGGTATAACTAGTATTCTTAGATAGAACTGAGTATTACTGAGCTTAAATATTAACTAAATATGTGCATGTATATTTATTTTTCAGGATTCTGAGGAGGATACGGAAGGTATGCATCCTCCTGAGCTTTACTTCGAGAGCTCAGAATTTGTCCACTATCCTAAGATACAATCCAAGTGTGAAGTGATGAATACAGTGAGTCTGATTTCTAAAAGCCTAAGAGACAGAGACGAGCTAGGGTGGTTCAGAAGTCATCCGCAGTTTTGTCACTTGTTTCACATGCCTCTTGAACAAACTCGTAAGCTGATGGGGTTTTGGATGCTAGCTGTGCGTACAGTTAAAAATGAGGGAGGAAGGGTACTTTGGTTTGTGGTTAATGGTGTTCCATTAGGTACTCCATAAGAGAGCATGCACTTGTGTCTGGATTTGACTGCCATGAGTACCCAGAGAATTATGAGAAGTTATATGGTGATGAGTTCGAGAAAAGGCATTTTGAGGGGAAAAAAACAATAACTGTGCAAGATGTCAAGAAAAAGCTGGAGACAATGATGGCTTGTGGGGATCGGTTGAAGATGGCGGTGCTTTATCTGCGGTGCACAGTAATTGGAGGAAAAACCAAGTATGATGGGGCAATAGATAGTTTCTTGCTTAAGATAGTTAATGATTTGGAGGCCTGTAAAACTTTTCCGTGGGGAAGATGAACTTTTGATAAAGTCGTGGAGTCAATTCATTCGATGCTGCATAAAATGGATGGCTCTGTGAAGGACTCGGCCTCCATTCCTGGATTCATAATACCTTTAGAGGTAAAATTGGGATTTATAAGTATAATTGTATATGTTTTATGATTTACTTTTGTTCTCATGTACTTCTATGTTCTTTTAGGCGCTGGCTTTTGAGTGTATTCAAAATCTGAAGATTAAATTTCGAGAAGATGTAAAAGATTGTGACAGTTCTTGTCCTCTCATGTGCAAGCGGAAGTTCAAAGTTACTAGTATGACCGGTTTTCCATTAGAAGAGATTTATGGTGCGCTTGGAGATTCTAAGGTTAGTGTTAATTGAATAAGTTTGTTTCCTTTAGCTAAAATTTTGGTGTTCATTGAATTTTTGTATATTGACAGGAAATTCAGAGTATTCTGGAGGTAGATGAGGATGAGCAATATCTTATGGCACGGCTTGTAAATGAGGACTCGGAAGATGTATGCGACGGTGATATAACTGTTAGTTGGAACCAGCACCTAACTAAAGAGGAGAAGTTGATTTGGTGGAAAGACCTGTACGACTTGGATGTGGCTGCAAGAGTGTTTCCCGATAAGAAAGCGAAGCAGCAAGAGGTGACAAAGGCAAAGAAGCAAAAGGTGGCGAAGCAGAAAGACTCTACTTCAAGTCCCTCTGATACAGGTCCCCCATTAAATCCGACCATTTTTGAAGCGAGGGTACTCATTGCATTGGAAGAAGGGTTTGAAAAAATGAATAGAAAGCTTGCTGACATGGGAAAACGGATTGATCATGTGGGTGGAAATCACCTTGCGTTGACAAAAGAGGTTGAGGATATGAAAAAAAATTAAAGCGAAATCGTGAATTGGAGGAGAAAGCAGAAGCCGAGAAAGCAGATGAAGAGAAGGAAAGGAAGAAGGCAGAGAAAGAAAAGGACAGGAAGAAGAAGAAGACAGTGAAGAAGAACGTGTAGTTCTCTGTTTCCCCTCTCAAAACATACACGTTCTTCTTCACTGTCTTCTTCTTCTTCCTGCCCTTTTCTTTCTCTGCCTTCTTCCTTTCCTTCTCTTCCTCTGCTTTCTCGGCTTCTGCTTTCTCCTCCAATTCACGATTTTGCTTTAATTTTTTTTTTATATCCTCAACCTCTTTTGTCAACGCAAGGTGACTTCCACCCACATGATCAATCTGCTTTCCCATGTCAGCAAGCTTTCTATTCATTTTTTCAAGCCTTTCTTCCAATGCAATGAGTATCCTCGCTCCAAAAATGGTCGGATTAAATGGGGGACCTGTATCAGAGGGACTTGAAGTAGAGTCTTTCTGCTTCGCCACCTTTTGCTTATTTGCCTTTGCCACCTCTTGCTGCTTTGCTTTCTTTTCGGGAAACACTCTTGCAGCCACATCCAAGTCGTACAGGTCTTTCCACCAAATCAACTTCTCCTCTTTAGTTAGGCGCTGGTTCCAACTATCAGTTATATCACCGTCGCATACATCTTCCGAGTCCTCATTTACAAGGCGTGCCATAAGATATTGCTCATCCTCATCTACCTCCAGAATACTCTGAATTTCCTGTCAATATACAAAAATTCAATGAACACCAAAATTTTAGCTAGAGGAAACAAACTTATTCAATTAACACTAACCTTAGAATCTCCAAGCGCACCATAAATCTCTTCTAATGGAAAACCGGTCATACTAGTAACTTTGAACTTCCGCTTGCACATGAGAGGACAAGAACTGTCACAATCTTTTACATCTTCTCGAAATTTAATCTTCAGATTTTGAATACACTCAAAAGCCAGCGCCTAAAAGAACATAGAAGTACATGAGAACAAAAGTAAATCATAAAACATATGCAGTTATACTTATAAATCCTAATTTTACTTCTAAAGGTATTATGAATCCAGGAATGGAGACCGAGTCCTTCACAGAGCCATCCATTTTATGCAGCATCGAATGAATTGACTCCACGACTTTATCAAAAGTCCATCTTCCCCACGGAAAAGTTTTACAGGCCTCCAAATCATTAACTATCTTAAGCAAGAAACTATTTATTGCCCCATCATACTTGGTTTTTCCTCCAATTACTGTGCACAGCAGATAAAGCACCGCCATCTTCAACCGATCCCCACAAGCCATCATTGTCTCCAGCTTTTTCTTGACATCTTGCACAGTTATTATTTTTTTCCCCTCAAAATGCCTTTTCTCGAACTCATCACCATATAACTTCTCATAATTCTCTGGGTACTCATGGCAGTCAAATCCAGACACAAGTGCATGCTCTCTTATGGAGTACCTAATGGGAACACCATTAACCACAAACCAAAGTACCCTTCCTCCCTCATTTTTAACTGTACGCACAGCTAGCATCCAAAACCCCATCAGCTTACGAGTTTGTTCGAGAGGCATGTGAAACAAGTGACAAAACTGCGGATGACTTCTGAACCACCCTAGCTCGTCTCCGTCTCTTAGGCTTTTAGAAATCAGACTCACTGTATTCATCACTTTACACTTGGATTGTATCTTAGGATAGTGGACAAATTCTGAGCTCTCGAAGTAAAGCTCAGGAGGATGCATACCTTCCGTATCCTCCTCAGAATCCTGAAAAATAAATATACATACACATATTTAGTTAATATTTAAGCTCAGTAATACTCAGTTCCATCTAAGAATACTAGTTATACCAACCTAAGAATACTAGTAATACTAAGAATACTAGTTATACCAACCTAAGAATACTAGTTATACTAAGAATGCTAGTTATATCAACTTAATAATACTAGTTATACCAACCTAAGAATACTAGTTATACTAAGAATACTAGTTATACCACCTACGAATACTAGCTATACTAAGAATACTAGTTCTATCAACTTAATAATACTAGTTATACGAACATAAGAATACTAGTTATACGATAGTTATACCACGAAACTAAGAATGGAATACAGATCTTTGAAGATGTAGCTTCTTCTTCTTCACTCTCCCCTTCACTCTCACTTTTTTCTTCCTCTTCACTCTCCTCTACACTCTCACTCTTTTCTTTCTCTTCACTCTCACTTTTTTCTTCCTCTTCACTCTCCTCTACACTCTCACTCTTTTCTTCCTCTTCACTCTTTTTTCCCCTTCACTCACGTCTCCACTTGGTTGTGGAGGAGGTGGACTTGGTTGTGGAGGAGCTGCACTTGCACTTGGTAGTGAAGGAGGTAGTGTTTCTTTCGTAGTTGGTTGTGGTGGAGCTGCACTTGGTTGTGGAGGAGGTGGAGTTTCTTTCGGAGTTGGTTGTGGAGGAGGTGGAGTTGCTTTGGGAGTGGGCTTTGGTGTTGGAGTTGCTTTCCGAGGTCGATTTAGGCGTGAACTCCTCCTCACATTGCTCTTCTTTTGCAAATTTTTCTCCAGATTAAGCGTTTTCGGCGGCATCTCTGATCAATCAACAACAAAATGATCAGCCATGAGAATACTATTAACACTAGTATAGAAGAATGGATTCTCCCGTGAATACTAAAAATGGATTAATGTCAAAATTGAGACTTAATGGAGAGACAATGAGCATTTATCGATAATTGAAAAGGAGATAAATGGATTCTAATTACCTCAATAATAGAATTCACGGGAGAGAACTGCGGAATCCAAGAAGAACAGCGGGTGCAGAGATGGTGGAAATTGAAGAACGAGAGCAAATAATTAAAAATCGGGTTTGATTCTGGGATTTGATTCTTTCGACGTCGTCGGATCTTTGGGCTCGCCGAGATCTCTGTGTCTAGGTTTTTGTTAAAGGAGCTCGAGCTTTTGTTAAATGGCGGACGGAGGCAGATAAACTGAAGATAAGAACACGAAGATGATTTAGAGATTTTTGTTAAATGGGTCGGATCGGATCTTGCATCAAATTTGAAACGGGCGGATATTGCTAGGTTGGATCTGTAATAATAAAGATATGGCTGGATTTAAATGTCTTTTCTGTATTTTTGATTTAAAAGAAAATCAAAATTAAATTCTCAAATATAACAGGGGTATTTCAGCATGTATTTCAATATTTAAGGGCTTTCCAGCCAAAGATATCCGGGATCAAACTCTGTTCATTGCTCCAGCTAATCGGTTCACTGTACGTAAAAGTTTCTTGAGAGAGTATAAGAAAGAAGACAAGTATATTAAGATGACACGCTTTTAAACCGGAAAAGAATCTTGGGAGAAACTTACATGGACCAAGAGATTGAGGGTTCACAGTTTAGGAGAATCATCGAGCAACCGGACAAGTAACTTTGACCAATTATGGCGGTGGCATTGAAGCTTCAGATGTTCAAGCTGGTCGAAGACAATACCAGAACGGTACATAGACTGCACACACGTGATGATATAAAATAACAATAGAAACCTGATTGTGTAGATGAAATCATACGATAGAGAAGTTGTAACTCTAGGGGATGGAAACAGATCACCTCTTGTTCATTGTCCGAAAACACTTGTAATGAAAGACGTTTGACAGATGTGATTGATTCGACAAACTCTCCGAGACCTTTCGAGACAAAGATATCTGCCTCTTCCAGCTGCGGCATATGCTTAATCGAATAGGAGAAACTTGGTCTCGGGTCCTCAACTTTGAAATACTTCAAAGACGGTGTATCTATCACACTCCCAATCCCATCATCACGGGGACAAAAAGCGTCTACCAGTAACGTTAACCTCTGCAAGGACGGGTGAATAACAGCCAACGTTTTCAAATTGTCACCCACTTGTCGTGAAATAGCCAGATCTTCCAGAACAGGGCAGCAAGACAGAAGCGATCCAAGAGAGTCTTGATTCAAGCATCTCACTTGTTCAAGTTGCAAGGTTCTCAAGGAAGGGAGACAAACCGTTGGAGGAACATCCACGAGAACGCTATGTCCGTCAAGCTTCAAAGCCAAGAGAGATTTGCAGGTATATAAACTACTCGGCAATGCGATTTCGAATCCGCCATAGTCAGGGCCACAGTAGATACTTAGCTCTCGTACGCAGCGAGAGATTGCAGTTTCAACCCACAGTTTTATATCCTCAGGTTGAAACAACGCATGATCAAAACCAAGGGACAAGCTTTCTATGGTCGGAGCTCTATGTAAAGGCAGTTTCTTGTTAATGAAATCTAGATACCTTTGTAATTTAGACACTAGACGATCTGAAAGATCGGCATGACTAAAGTACATTTACACTGAACGATTGTTGTCACGACTTAAGTTTTTGTAATGAATGTACTCGAGCTTAGGCACCCACATCCAAAGATACTCCCATCGCTTAGACAGAACGCTAGTGGATACAGCAACTTTCATCGGAGCAAACGATAATATCTTAGTCACCAATTCATCAGGCAACTCACTGATTCTGTCCATATCTTGCAACTGTTTCGAATCCAACAAAACCAATTGGGTTCTGTCTTTACCTCCTTCTTCCGACTTTGAAACCAAGTAGTAGGCGGCGCTGACTTTTAGAAAAATTGTAAAGACTGTTTTACAATTTATTTTTTATACAAAATTTTTAATGTATAAATAAAGCCACAAGCCCATGTTTGGTCTGCTTGGGCTCAGGAAGTAAAAAAACAAAGCCATACAGAACAGACCAAAAGCTGAATAGAGTGACTGATTTCTACCTTGAGGGACAAGGTAGTTCTTCACCGGTGGAGTATTGTTATGACCCAAGATCAAACTATTGAGTAGTGTGTTTTAATGGTCAAACATTAATTAAAAAAAAAAAAAAAGTTGAAAAGAAAAGGCGAGAGAGAGAGAGAGTCTATTGGAGTTGACTTATTTCCCCTAAGAACTTTCTTGCCGACATTGAGTCGACGAAAGGTATGATTCTCCTTCTCCATTCCCACCTTGAAAATATCGTCGCATCATTGGATATATTCCGTAGGATGTGATTTCTCCTTGATCGTACATTCGTACTAAGCAATTCCTCTCTAAGCTTCAGGTTCAATCTTGAAACAGAGCAAACGAATTAAACCGTTTTTGTTTTTTGTTTTTGGTTGAGTTTCGGGTTTATACATGTCTTATATTCCTCCACATAAGCGACATTCAAAGGATCCGGTTATACCTTCCCCTGTTCCAGATTCTCTTCTTACGAAATCCAAGAAAAGCGTTGACTTCAGCAGTAGCAGTGACAGATGCAACCGTGTTACATTTGCAGAAAACTTCATCTCAAAATGGTTTCTTATCGGTCCAAATGGAATCGGGGATGAGCTTCCTTCTTCTGTTAAGCTTGTGCCCGTGTCCTTAGATTCTGTCGAATGCAGAAATGGAGAAAGACCTTTGGTACTGATGAACGACGACGACGACTTCCAAAAAGGTTTGTGTCTTAACGCAGTAACGAACAACATTAGTGACTATATTTGTTAGTGCTATGATCATCTTTCTGAGTGTGGTTTTTTTATATATGTTTATATATTCAGCGAATGTGATAACTGAAGAGAGCGAAGAAGAAGAGAGAGCTCGGTGGATGTTGTTAGTAGCAGAGAAGGTCGAAGATGATCTTGTGTTGGCATATGAGCGAGCTAAGACTGCAATGGAGGTGAATCAACATGTATTGAGATTGGTTGCTAGGCTTGGTAAAGTTTTCTTGTATAGGTAAGCGATTCAGCGTCTGACATTAGACTTTGTTAGTTACAAAAGTTCTCATTTTTTTTTGTTGTTGTAACATATTCAACAACAAAAAAAACACAGGCGGCAAGCTGGTTCTGTGGCTGAATTTTCGAGGAAAAACTTGAAAAAGATGTTCTCTACAGATGTTTCAACTTCTAACTTGCAACACATCAAGTCTAAGGTTGTACCAAGACATAAGTTCTCTATTGACTTGGAAAAGGAAACATATACTGTGAAGGTACTTGTTCTGTTTTTCTTAGACGTGTTCTTTCGAATGTCATTTGTTTATGCTTTGTTGTGACTGTCTTCTACTCTAAGGTATCGCATAATACTCGTCCCACTGAAACCATCAACTGTAAGTGTACCCTTAAAGAAGATGGACGACTCAGTATGTACAAGGCAAGTCTCATGCATGTTCTTACTTCTTTGTTGTGTATGTTTATTAAGAACCAAAGCATAAGAAACATAAAACTTAACAAACCAATAACTTCAATGAGAAATATTATTCTGCCAACTTATGATTCATCTCATCAATGATTTTAAGTGGATACATGCCACATTGGTTTACTTGGTTTGTTCTTTCAACATCTTATATTGAGTTTTGATTTTGCATCAGGCCGAGCTTAATGTTGTTTGGCACTTGGTTTTTGATGTGTCATGCATTGATAAGAGTCTTGACATGAGACTGATGCTCGCTGCCAAAAGGAAAATGACGGCTCTTACAGTTAGTTGAATTTGATATACATATACACCTTTTTTTTGGGGAATAAATTATATGCTTGTCATGGACTTAGGCTGAGTGATGTTTCTGTGATGGGCAGGAGAAAGAGATTAGTGACATTAAAGAGCTACTAGATTCAGCAACTGTTGATCCAAATGTGAAAGGCGGTTTAAGATGGCCGCTTGGTAAATCTTCATCAAGGGATGGGTACAGAGTATTTGAAGTTTGTCACGTTAGAGCTACTATCTACAAAAACCGGACTCTCAGGCTTAGGATTAGAGAGACAGATAGATTCAATGAGAGGACTGGAACAGGAGCAGTCAAGAAAGAGGTGACTCTGATACTTAAAAACCTCAACACTAAGTTACAGGTACGTTATTGTGCTCTTACATCTTTGAAACTCTATTGGAAAATGAGGCTTATAGAGTGATTGCACTTGTGGTCTGCAGGAAAGGAACATTGAAAGGGGTTTTGTTTTGGAAATGCTTCGAGATGCTCTTGGAACCATATGGGACTTCTTGCACTAGTGAAAAATCAACTCTGGTGTATTGGGTTTGTCTTTTACTTTCTCCTGTTTTTTTCAGTACTACAATGTTTTGGTTTGTTTTGAATTGTTGAAGGATTGAACTTATGTGTGTCAAAAAACAAAAACAAAAAACAGATGCTGTGTTCTGTTACCTACGTGACCTACGTGTATGCATGATTCAGGCAACTAAAGCTTCCTTATACTCAAAGGTCTAAGAAGGACAATACAATATAAAGATCCTCAAATATCTCAGTCAAGTTTGATGGATGTGAATCATGTGATCATTGAAAAAACAAGATTTGTGACAATGTTAGTCACCAGTGAGACTAGTAATCATGATTACTAATAAGACTACATTGATATTTGAGCACCTGTGTAGCTCAAATAGGAAACGATACCATCTTAAATCCAAAGTCAAACATTAAATAAATAACCTGAAAAGAAAAACTACACAAATTATTAAAGCTTTTAAGAAAACCGATGAGTTCACTGAAAAGGCGAGAGAGTCTATTGGAGTTGACTTTTTTTTCCCTAAGAACTTTCTTGCAGACGACGAAAAGGTAATCGCTGAGAAAACCTGTCGTCGTTTTCTGTAATTGTCTCTAAGATGTGAGTTCTCCTTGATACTGTACTACTAAAGCATTCCTCTCTAAGCTTCATGTTCAAGCTTGAAACAGAGCCGATGAGTCATCGTTCTTGAAAGTCAACAGTTTTTTTTTTTTTTTGGTTGAGTTTCAGGTTCAGAGATGTCCTATATTCCTCCAAAAGATCTGGTTAGACCATCCCCTGTTCCAGATTCTCTTCTTACAGAAGCCAAGAAAAACATTGAGTTCCGCAGTAGCAGTGATGACTACAACCGTATTACATTTTCAGAAAACTTCATCTCAAAATGGTTTATAGTTGGTCCAAATGGAATCAAGGATGAGTATCCTCCACCTGTTAAGTTTGTGCCTGCGTCACCTTTGGTACTGATGATGAACAACGACTTCCAAAAAGGTTTTGTGTCTTAATTAACGCAGAATCCGAACTCTGGAACGCTTTGTCTTTCTGAGTGTGGTTTCATATATATGTTTTATATTCAGCGAGAAAAGAAGAAGAGATAGCTCGGTGGCTTTTAATAGCAGAGAAGGTCGAAGAGGATCTGTTGTTGGCATATGAGCGAGCTAAGACTGCAACAATGGAAGAGAATCAACATGTATTGAGATTGGTTGTTAGGTTCGGTAAAATTCTCTTCTATGGGTAAGTGATTCAGCGTCTGAACTGAACTTTTGTTGCTTACAAAAGTTCTCTTCTTTTTATTCTAACATATACATCATAAAAAGGAAATACAGGCGGCAAGCTGGTCCTGTGGCTGAATCTTCACGAAGAAACTTGAAGAAGATGTTCTCTACAGATGTTCCAGCTTTTAAGTTGCAACACATCAAGTCTAAGGTTGTACCAAGCCATGGATTCTCTATTGACTTGGAAAAGGAAACATACACTGTGAAGGTTCTTGTTTAGTTTTCTTAGACGTATTCCTCAGAATGTCATTTGTATATGCTTTATTTTATCTGGCTTCTACTCTCAGATAAGGCATAATACTCTTCCCAATGCAACCATCATCTGCAAGTGTGCTCTTAAGGAAGATGGACGGCTCAGTATGTACAAGGCAAGTCTCTTTCTCACTTCTTTGTTGTGTTGTATGTTTGTAAATAACAAGAGTTATGTCCTATATTTATAGGTCTAGAAATCTAACAAACCAATAAACTCACTTATGATTCATCTCGTCATTGATATTAGCTGGATACATGCTACATTTTTACTTGGTTTGTCTTTTAACATCTTATATTGAGTAATGATTTTGCATCAGGCCGAGCTTAATGTTGTTTGGCACTTGGTTATTGATCTGTCATGCCTTGATAAGAGCCTTGACATGAGACTGATGCTCGCTGCCAAAAGGAAAATGACGGCCCTCACAGTTAGTTGAATTTGATAATAATATATTTATTCTGGATTAAAATATATATGCTTGTCATGGAGGTGATGTTTCTGTGATGTGCAGGAGAAAGAGATAAGTGACATTAAAGAGCTACTGGATTCAGCAACCGTTGATCCAACTGTGAAAGGCGGTTTAAGGTGGCCGCTTGGTAAATCTTCATCTGGAGACGAATACATAATATTTGAAGTTTGTCACGTTAGAGCTACTATCTACAAAAACCAGACTCTCAGGCTTAGGGTTAGAGAGACTGTTAGATCTTATGAGAGGACTGTAACAGGACCAGTCAAGAGGGACGTGACTCTGATACTCAAAGGCATCAACTCTAAGTTACAGGTACGTTATTGTGATATACATCTTTGAAACTCTGTTGAAATATGAAGCTTAATCACTTGTGTTCTGCAGGAGAAGAACATTGAAAGGGATTCTGTTTTGGAAATGCTTCGAGATGCTCTTGGAACCATATGGGACTTCATGCACTGTGATGCCTCTCTTACGTAGTAAAAGAACCATATGATGATGTTTTGGGTTGGCAAGATTGAACTTGCGTGTGACAATAATAAAAAAGAAAAATAAAAGCAGAAGCTCTGTTTTGTTACAATTTCACTTCATGTATATACTCAGGCTCAATCTTACAAACAGAAATTGCATTGCATTAGACCTGAAATATATACATTTGTAATTAAGATTTATCTTATGCTTTGAACATGTAGTTGATCACTTCCTACATTCTTTGCCAAACAAATTAATCTCTCTTCTATCAAGTTCTAAGTTCTAACTATCATCCATAAGAACAAATACATCAAAATTGCAGGTAGAAGTTGATCCACAGCAATAAAAAGCAGGTTATCCTTAAACCAAATGTGCTATAAGTTCCACTGCTTTCTCCATCAAACCTCTGTCACATAATTTGCAAATGACTTCCTCCGTTCTCGAACTCTTCACAACCAAGTTCCTGCTAAACGCTTCCTCTAATAAACCGTGAGCACAAACAACCTCGTCTGCTTCAATAAACCCATTAATCATCATATCATAAGTGTGGCTGTTCCGGTTAACCCCATTCGTCTCCATCTCTTCCCACAGTCTCTTAGCTCGACTCATCTCTGATGCCTTAACCAACGCCTTTATCAGTATATTGTATGTAACTACATTAGGCGCAGAACCTAGCTTGTTCATACAAGACATCATCTTTATGGCGCCTTCGATATCGTTCTGCTTGCATAAGCCATTGATATACACATTATACGTGTAAACATCAGGAGTCAAACCTAACAAGAGCAGCTCGTCAAACAACTTGTCCGCTTTCGTGTAATCCTCATCCGCAATAACGCATTGCAGTATAATCGTGTAACAAACGATATCAGGCTCTATTCGATCACATTTCATCTGGTTCAGTACACTTACAACCTCTTTTCCTCTTCCTCCTTCGACCACGAACCTCATCACGACTGTATAATCCCGCAAATCAGGCAGAAACCGAGTTCTTCGCAGCTCTTCCATATATCCAATGACATCGAAACATGACGAATCCTTGTGTTTACAGACAGAGCTTAGCAACCGAGAGTATAGTCTTGATTCAACGATATAACACTCATCACTCATGTATTTCACTAACTCAGTGGCACAATCTACCTCACCGATTCTACAGAGAGCATCGATCAATATCCCGAAAGTAGATTCCTCTAACCTCACACCCATTCCACTAGCTCTCAACAAAATCTTAGGCACCATTTTCAGACTCTGTCTCTCTCTCACGAGAACCAAGAGCAGAGCATTGAGCGTGTACGCAGAAGGCACGCACCTGAAATTTGGGATTTTGAAGAACGCGTCGACCGCTTCTTCGATTCTGCCGGAGAACCCGTAAGCAAAGATGACGTCTTTGAAGATGGATTCGGGTGTATCGAACTTCTCGGAGGTTTCGAGGTGATTGAGAACAGACGCGATGTTCTCGAGCTGGGAGGTTTTGGCTAGGGTTCTGATAACGAACCTGTAAGCTTGAGGCGTGGGTGAGCAGCTATGGAGGCGGAAAGAGCTTACGAGGGTTCGCATAACACCGCCGTTCTCGCTCGACCCTAAATCTGAGAGCAGGCCGGTTTTGAGCTCTTCCATGGCATACTTCTGCTTGAGATTTTCGTTCCATTTCGTTTTGAAGGACGAGTGAGGGATTTTCCGATACTTTCTCATGAAATTTGACATTCGGTGCCACGATGAAGATCTTCCCATTCTTCAATCGGTGGCTTGATTCTATCTACCGCCGGCGTAAATTAGAATACAGAGAGACCATGGAGTGGAGAGAATCATTTATATATTTGATGAAATTTGATTTGTACAGTGAATAATACTTCTACTTCTAAATAATTAATTAACATCATCTGTTTTATCATAAAATTACATCAATTTTTAAATATTACATGTTCTTTTACATCAATTAGAAATTAGAATGTAAAAATATATAAAGAAAAAGATCTTTCTTAGTAAATGTGACTATGTGAGCAAAAAAACATAAGCATAAAGCTTTTTAAAAATTAGAACTATTAAAATTTATAATAATTATTAGTTTTCTTTTCTCTTTAAAAAACAAGACAATTATGGATAACTTTCTGTAATTATTATTCATAAGAAACAAACACATATCCAAAGTTATTAAAAAAAATGTATATAAGTTTTAAAAGTAAAAAGAAACTTTGCATTCATTTTCATCTTCATCTATATAAGTAGTAGCAAAAAGTCTACGTGTCGTCAAAATCTAAATAATTGGGTATCGCAGCTTTTGTTATATATACACATTGCCCCGGCTGGTTTTCAACACGTAACCGGATAATACACATAATGACATCAAATCTCCGTCTTTATATAGTATAAACAGCATTAAAAAGGAATTATCCACCTAAAAAATATTATACTTTTATTAATAGTTTCAAACGTTGACCACATTGCGAAGCGCGTGCGTTCACGCACAAAAGAAGAGCGTGGAGCGGGAAATTGCCGTCCATAATACAGAGAGAAAGAGAGAATAAAATAAAAAAGGATTTTGTTTTTCTATTTGTTGTTCGTGAGATAGAAAAGGAAAGAAAGAAGGCGAAAAGCAGGCATAAAAAAGCAAAGATTCCCGCTGACTCCGTCTCTCTGCGCTGGGATTAGGAAGATAGAGCCCAAAGTTTTTTTTTAGGGTTTCTTTGTTGATTTCCTCGAGCCGGAAAAAAGCTTTTGTTATTCGTTTTTGCCGATCGTATTGAGCTAGGTCTCGGCGAGATTATGGCGTCGTCTTCAGCTTCGGCGACGGTGGCCGTCGATAAGGCTACCAGCGATCTTCTGCTAGGTCCTGATTGGACCACGAACATGGAAATCTGCGATTCCGTCAATTCGCTTCACTGGTAAATTTAGCCTTCCTCTTCCTCTTCATCATATCTACATATCATCAGCCGCTTTCGATTTGGTGTTGGAATTCTGGTTAGATTATAGCTCTCTTCCACTTGATTTCCTCTGGAATTGTTGATTGTTCTTTGCTGCAGTTAGTTCATGATTTAGTGAAAGGTTTTCCACAGAAACTAACAATCAACATGCGAAATTGGGATTAGATTTTGGTTGTTTGATACCTAAAAATCCTGATTGATTCGTGCTTGGAGTAGGAACATCTTAACGTGCTGCATCTTTGCTAACGAGTTTGCGCCTATTGAATTGCTCAGGCAGGCTAAAGATGTCGTTAAAGCTGTGAAAAAGAGGCTGCAACATAAGAGCCCGAGAGTTCAGCAGCTTGCTCTGACGGTATGTGATGAAATTTGGGAAGCCTGTTCTTTCTGCGAATAGTTTTTTCATCTTTTCCTTGACTCTCTGCAAACTCGTATGTGCTAGCTTTTGGAGACGTTGGTGAAGAACTGCGGAGATTATTTGCACCATCAAGTTGCAGAGAAGAACGTGTTGGGGGAAATGGTCAAAATTGTGAAGAAGAAGGTACTTTTTGTTTAGGGTATGTACGTGTTTCCACAGTGGTGAAATTCTTCATATTTTGCTGATGATCCATTGGACTTTATAGGCGGATATGCAAGTAAGGGATAAAATATTGGTCATGCTGGACTCTTGGCAGCAGGCTTTTGGAGGTCCAGAGGGAAAATATCCGCAGTATTACTATGCATACGATGAGTTAAGGGTGAGTAATTGTTCTGTTTTTAGAGAATTTACGTTTTAGAGAATGCTCATTTCCATGAAGTTCTTATTCTTAATTGTTTTCTGTTGTATGTTGCAGCGTTCTGGAGTTGAGTTCCCTCGGCGTTCACCTGATGCGTCCCCTATAATAACACCACCAGTGAGTCATCCAACGTTAAGACAGCCTCAGGGGGGTTATGGATCACCGCATGCTGGTTACGGAGTACCGCAAGCAGGTTACGGAATGCCTCAAGGTGGTTATGGAGTACCGCAAGCGGGTTATGGAGTACCTCAAGCGGGTTATGGAGTTCCTCAAGCGGGTTATGGAGTTCCTCAAGCTGGTTATGGAATACCTCAAGTTAATTATGGAATGCCCAGTGGTTCGTCGAGAAGGCTTGATGAAGCAATGGCAAGTGAGGTTGAGGGCTTAAGGTATGTGAATCCCTTAGTTCAGTATGCTGTGTATATGGGCTGGCAGTTTTAGATTTCGTAGAAAATTTTCATCATTTTCAATATTCTTTTCTTTGTTAATCTGTAGTTTGTCAAGTCTTGAGACCATGAGGGACGTGATGGATCTCTTGGGCGACATGCTACAAGCTGTGGATCCCAGTGACCGTGCGGTATTGGAATCTGTTATACTTACACAGTTTTATATTACGGTTTTGGGAACGATTGCTTTACCCATGGGTTTCCTATTATGTAGGCTGTGAAAGATGAAGTCATTGTTGACTTGGTCGAGCGTTGTCGTTCCAATCAGAAGAAGCTTATGCAGATGCTAACTTCCACTGGGTTAGTCTTCTATTTACAGGAATCACTTTTGTATTTAAATATGTTCGATTGTGTAGTGATATTGTTGACTTGAGAGGTTCCATCGTTGTGCTGAACAGTCTATTGTTTATGTGGCAGGGATGATGAACTTCTAGGCCGGGGACTCGATTTAAATGACAGTCTTCAGACTCTGCTAGCTAGACATGATGCAATAGCTTCTGGTTCTCCTCTGCCAGTTCAGGCTTTGAAACCTGCTACGGATTCGAGCCCCAAATCTTCTGAAGCTAAAGATTCTAGTTCCATAGCTGGTTCTAGTTCCCCAATACCCACCACTGTTTCGACGGGAAAAGCCCCAATTGATGAGGAGTACGAAGAGGAGGAAGATGAGTTTGCGCAATTAGCTCGCAGGTCTGTCTTACAATTGGATTCACAGAAACAGCTGCATATTAAAAAAAAACTTAGTAATTGACATATCATGCTATGTTGTTTCAGGCATTCCAAACCACCAGCGTCTGTGACTACAGACCCCAACAGTTCAGAGTCGCATAATGCTCTTGCTCTTGCTCTTGCTCTGCCTGACCCGCCTCCTCCAGTGAACACCACAAAGGAACAAGACATGATTGACCTATTAAGTATCACACTGTCTACACCGTCAACTCCACCGCCTCCATCTTTTCAGCCTCCTCCCACTGTCTCAGATCAAAACACCCATATCTATCCACAGGCTTTGCCACAGTTTGGTAGCTATGTCGCTCCGTGGGCACAGCAACAGCAACCGCAACAGCCTCAAACAGAGCAGGGCTATTCGCAACCGCAACAGCCTCAAACACAGCCGGGCTACTCTCAACCGCAACAACCACAACAGTTTCAAACACAACAGGGCTATTCGCAACCACAACAGCCTCAGACACAGCAGGAGTATTCTCAACCGCAACCGCAACAGCCTCAAACACAGCAGGGCTATTCTCAACCGCAACCGCAACAGCCTCAAACACAGCAGGGCTATTCTCAACCGCAGTCGCAAGCACAGTTCCAGATGCAACCGCAAAGTAGACCTCAGAACCCGTATGAATATCCTCCTCCGCCATGGGCTTCGACATCAGCGAATGCATACTATACCCCACGGGCTAATGCAACTGCGTCATACACAGACACATCGGCCGTAGCCGGGAGATCACTGCAGCAGTCCAACTCATTCCCCACAAGAGCCGGAGATCCCCAGGCTACTTCAGCTGCAAGCAATCCAGTAGGACAGAAGCCGTTTGTTCCATCGTACAGACTGTTCGAAGATCTGGATGTGTTTGGTAGCACAGAGGGGAAGCATAACAATAAGTCTACGAACAGTAATAATAATGCTTCTCAGGCGCAGCAAAGTATGGTAGGAGGGAGGAAAATGATTTAAACATAAGTGGATGATGATGATGCTTCGTTATTTTCCCCATTGTTAATATAATGGTGTTCAACTGAATGTACATTTTTTTCCCTGCTCGTTTGATTTTAGGATTTGTTATGACATACTAAAAACGCTTTGATGAGAATGAGATTTTTTATTTTATTTTTTGCTTTGTGCTCACTTTTCGTTCCCTTTTGTGGAGTCGTCGTGTAACCTGGATGGAATGATATCATACACCTGCCTGAGTTATGTCCAAATGATATGTTTTGCTAAATGTGATCTTTATTTTGTATTTTTGAAATGTTTCATCTTTTTATTAATTGCAAAAATCCTTTCATGAATTTTTTTTAAAGTCCACCAGATATGAAGCATGTATTAGAGGATGGGGATGTAGTAGTAACGATGCCACTACCGTTGAAATTACAAGCGAGACCATTGCTTGTATAATAAGCGGTCATGGCGTACGCAGCAGCTCTCGTCTTCAACGTATCTTTGGAACAAAAACCATCAGGGCTTTTGCACGCGAAATCAATATTCGCTTGAAGCTGTGCGTCTCTCGTCTCTTGCTTCGCCACACACCATTTCGCGTCGGGGACTCCACGAGGTATGAAGCATATATAAGAGACCTTTGGTGCGCTACTAGTGACGATGCCACTACCGTTGAAATCACAAGCGGCTCCAGCGAGACCTTTGCTAATATAATAAATGCTCATGGCGTAGGCAGCTCTCGTCTCCAACGTATCTGTGGAGCAAAAACCCTCAGGGCCAGGGAAGATTGACCTACAGTCCATCCCGTGGATTTTGCACACGAAATCAATATTTGCTTGGAGCTGTGTGTCTCTTGTCCCTTGCTTTGCCACACACCATTTCGAGTCATCGGAGGTTACGGCTGAGAGTTGGACGATCACGACCGTGACTAGGAGGAGGAAGAAAGAGGGATTCCAAAACGACGACATTTTTGCCATTGCTTTGTTTTGTAAGAAAGCGTTTGGATATGTATATAACATTAGGCAAGGGTTTGCGTGTTCCCGGTTCGGAAGGTTTTGAAGCGGAAAGAAATCGTGCAACACTGAATATCATCTTCAATGGAGGGAGATTATATGTACATACATGTATATTATTGGTTGGTTAATACATATGAATATACTATTGGTTCATAAATATACGTCAAAATAATTAAAGCTGGCTCATTCAGAAAATAGACTTTCAAAGAATAACCAATTCTATTACCAATGCAGTTATGAGTTAACTGCTATATCAGTCTCTGATGAGGACTTGTCCGAATCTTCGTAAAGCGGGGATGATGATGTTAATTTTTTTTAACAATGTTCTACGAGAATGGCCTGATGTGTGTGTATGGAATTCATTTCTTTGGACGCGAAAACATTAAAGGGAAAGAAAAGGTTTAACATTAAGAAATTATAGTGATTGAGAAGCAACGAGATGTTGGCTCATCAATCATTTTTGGTTCGTTCGAAGAACAAATTACAACAATCATAATAACCGCAACTTATTCATCTGCCCACAAAGAGTTGATTTCATATTCTTCACATCTTGGACATGGAGTAGTCCATCGCTTCCACGAGATAATCTGCGTCGTCCTTAGTGAAGCAGAGAGGTGGTGTGATTCTAAATACGTTTCCAAAGTAGCCTCCTTTCCCAACCAACACACCCAATTCTGTAAAAAATATTCATAATAGTCAACTTAATTTAGCCCCATTAGCTCAAGCTTCACCTGGAAAGTGAGTAGAAAAAACGCAAAAACCAACCAACCAACCTTTCATTTGATCCATGATGTGCAGAGTCTCGGCGGTTGCAGGAGTCTTAAGCTTGCGATCACTCACAAGCTCCACTCCAAGCATCAGTCCTCTTCCCCTTACATCCCCGATTACTACATTAGATAAACACATTGAAAGTAAGTTCAAGAACAACAAAGTTATGAAGACACAAGAGAAGGAAAGAGAGAGAGAGAGATTTTACTTTCGTGTTTCTCTTTCAGCTGGTTGAGTTTTCCTTTGAGATAAGATCCGACCATCGACGCATTTTCCTGAAGCTTCTCTTTCTCGATCACATTCAGAACAGCGAGACCAGCTGTAGAAGACACAGCATTTCCACCGAATGTATTGAAGTAGCATCTGCGAGTCAACACTCCTGCAATCTCTGGAGTCGTCACGACCGCTCCCAAAGGAAACCCATTTCCGATTCCCTGTTTTCAACATTAACCAAATCAATTCAGTTGCTCTTTTCAAAGAGTCAGATGCAGAGGAAACTAAGGTTGGGACAACAACAACAACTCTAACCTTTGCCATGGTAACTATGTCAGGGACGACGTTGTGAGCCTCAAATCCCCAGAAATTGCCAGTGCGAGCGAATCCAGACTGTACTTCATCCGCAATGAACAACCCTCCAGCTTTCTTTACAATATCATAAGCTGCTGACAAATAGCCTGGGGCTAGTTCCACAATCCCTCCGACTCCCTATTCACATTTGCAGGATATTGTCAACGATGGATCATTGTGATCTAATAACACTTTATATGACTTCAAAAATGAGAACTTTAATCACCTGTATAGCTTCACAGATGAAACCAGCAATGTGTCCTGTGGTGCCATATTGAATGAGTTCTTGCAAATCTCTTGCATACTTCTCACCATCAGAACCAAACACACCTCTGTATGGATCTGGGTTTACAGCGTGATGAGTTCCAGTCTTGCAGCAAGCAGAGAGTAAAACAACAACAAAAGAAACATCAGAACACAGATCAACGTTTTATCTCATCAAGTTTACAACAACAGGACAAAATCTCTAAGTACCTGAACCACGTTGAACTTCCACATGCTTTGAGCAGTAGCTCCCATGGTTCCAGCTGCATTACCATGATACCCGTTTCGAATCGACACAATATCTTGACATCCAGTATACAACTTGGCCATCATGAGTGCTAATTCATTAGCCTCCGTTCCCGAGTTGGTGAAGAAAACCACCTACGACACACACACACACAACCAAAACCACATAAAGTAACTAAATTTGGGGACGAAGTGTTGTTTGTATTGTCTAAAGACTCTAGCTTTACAGATACCAACAGTGAGCTCCGTAGTACCTTGAGATCACCAGGGAGCTTAGAGGCGAGAGCCTCTGAGAAATCAGCAATGGCGTGATTCAGGTAAAGAACCGTCGGGTGCTGGAGTCGCTTGATTTGATTGATCACTGGCTCAACCACATCTGGATGACAATGGCCACAGTTCACAACTGCGATCCCGGCGAAGGCATCTAAGTATCTCCGACCACTCTCGTCGAACAGATACTGCATCTTCCCATCCACAATGTTCAACTGCAACTCTCATAGGAAAAACAAAAAAAAAAACAATTCAATTTTCAAAGCCTTCACATGATAATGAATACAAATGATTTTGAAGATAAAGATTTTTGTTGTCAGAAAAGGAAAAAACAAAAAGGAGATTCAACATTCCCTTAATTTACAATATATTTAATAGATTCCATCACTGGTCACAGAATATTCGGATCTGGGCAACAGCTAATTACCTCAAATGGATTTGAGAATATCACAATCTGAGCAAATATATTAAATTATATTACAAGCAGAGCAATAACTTTAACGGAACTTTCGTCATTATATTCCGATGAATCCCATACGAAAATCAATAAACCGGACTTTTAACAAAAGATTTGATATAAAGATCAAAATCAATCGATCGGAAAACGAAATCAATCGTGACAATCGTTCATTTTTTCTCTCTTACCGGCTTGCGATACAGGCAGAACATGGAAGGACTGAGAAACTCCTTCCTTTTGTTAAGGATTGCATCGGCGGAGGGGCCTGTATACGGCGGCGGAGTGTAATCAAACGGCGGAAGTCTCGCCAGAAATTCGTCGGAGTCCTTGACGGGAGCCGCCGCAGTCTGAGACGTGGAGGAGATGCATCGCCGCCAAAGGGAAGCGGAAATGTTCTGAACCGATCTCTTGGCCGTGAATCTCTGCATGATCTATCTATCTCTCTGTCTTTCCTCCAATAAAGATGTGCAGAGAGACTACGACACTGTTTCGATGGTAACAAATGGGAGAGAGAGGTGACGTTTATATAGAGAGATTGATGAGACGAGAGAGTCCATAACCATTGGATCAGTCCTGACGTGTCCTCGGTAGATAGTTACGGCACTTGATTTGACAGGCTGGTCCCTAAACGTCCGTTTAATTACGAAATTCTCCCATGATTTATAAAATAATTATTTAAATTCAAAGTTTTTATATAACACACAAAACTAAACTTTAAATTCAAAATCCGAACTTTAAAAAAAAATTAAAATTGAAAGGTAAAATATCAGCAAATTAGTGATTTTCTAAATTTTGGAAATTTTAATCGATTATTTTTTTATTTTGATTTTTATAGATTTGTTTCCTTATAATTATTCATAGATTAATTTCGGCAAGTTGACACAAAACAACAATTCCGCAAATGACAATATTACTAATTCAATGAATGTTGACTAATATTAAAGACAATTGAGTCCATAATTAATAAATATAAAAAAATATAGTATTTCTTCTCCTTTATAATAAGTGTCATTTGGAGAAAATGTATCTGCATTGTAATTGGATGTATCTAGATGTATTTTGAATTTGATACATCCAGATACATTGCAAATACATTTATGAAACAGATGGAGTGTATGATAGAGAATCAGAGATTGTGTATACACAATTGGTATATAACTATATTCAATTCATGTAAATCTCCAAACTCCAGGAGAAATATGTTATTGTTCTCTTAAAAAAAAAACTCTTGTTTAGAACTCAATTTTGCTGACATTAACGTTTTTATTATTACTTCAACAATCAATTTTGGCTATTTACATTTCCCTTATATCTTATGAAACAAAACAAAATTAGTTTTCAGTTATTTTAACACTTATGACCATTTAGCTTTTAGAAAAGCTAAAGTTTTAATGCAGTTTTTTTTTGTTACAATTTTCACATATCTAAAAAAACCACCAAAATAGCAAACTCATGTCTTAACTCATTTTCCTCACGATAGAGATAAGGAGTAAGTATAAGTTAATGTTTAATACATAAGCTGTTTCGTAAACGAATTTATATAAGGTTGTGTATAATTAAGTAGAATGTTAGATTTAAATCATTGTTCGAGTGTATTTGGTATAGTACCAAAACAAGTAATGCATTTGGTAAATGGGATAGGTGTGGATGTTAATCATGGGATTGATGATCGCCTACGGTCTACAACTATATGTAGTATTTTCCAATTCGTTTTTCATGATAACTACAAAATTATAATGATCTTACCTTTATTTAACGCGTTGCTACAATTCCCAAAATCGTAGCATAATGTATTTTGTAGTATAATACTAAAAAGAAAGTATGGAGGGGCCATGGCCCATTTGTGTATGAGGCACGTGCTCTGCGCATGCTAGTGGAACTGCTGGTTTGTTTGTCCTAAATCCCAATGAAACCAATTATGGAGTTGAAATTTGCGTTGCTTAGTATTGTAATCACGAATCAATGCGTCTAATTAATCTTTTTCGTTCTTAATAAACAATGTGTCTAATCTGATATCCTCCTGCGTCGATTTAAATTTTATACTATTGTTTTCTGTTTGCCGTGAACCAACACACTTGGACCGATGACCATCAAAATTATGGATCGTGTCCATCTTATCTTTATATTTGTCCGTTTGATAAGGATTAAATTTATAGGACGAAAGAAAAACATTGAAATTATAGAGTATGGTTTTTTCTTTTTGTCAACAATTTGTTTACCTTCGAAATTTTAATTTGAAAGGACAAACTTTGTTATGACACATCGACACCACTAATACAAACATTTATGTTACATGTATTTATCAAACTGATTCTATCTTCATTTCTTGTATATAAATTTTACTAATACTGGTTTTATGTATTATGATATATTTTCCAAATTTGTAAATTTTAGCTGTGCTTGCATAGTTTGATGGAACCATCTAAAACATCTAGCTAGTTCCATGAAAAAGAGAGTATATATCATTAGAAGTTTGGAACGATAGGAAATATGAGAGGGTTGCACCAAAAAAGAAGGAGATATTAGAGGAAAAGCGGGAGTTGATGAAAAAAGGAGATATCAGCAACATAATCGTAGTCAGCAACCTAAATCTGATTACCATTAATTTAAGTTGATTTAACAAACAAACGAAAAAAACAATAAGGCCCAAAGAATAACTATTTTAAATTTGGGCTTTTGTTTATTTACAAGAGTAGTTAATTTGGACCTATTTATAGTTTGATTACGTTTGAGACTTGTATTAGGAATTTAGGATTGTAGTTTCATGGCTACAAATAGGTCCAACAAGAAGATCTTTGACAAATCTCTTTACAGATGAATACATTGTCTTTTGTTTTTGGTACACGTCCGAATTACCTTTTTAATAGATATTTAAATTACTTTAATATTTGTTGCGGATGTTTGATCCATTGCTTCTCCAACTAGGCAATGATCTTTTTTTCACTAAAAACAAATGTATGTTTGGCAAAGCAATTACCGCAAATCAACAAATCAGATATTTAGTTTGAATCTAATTGATAACGTAAAACGATAAAATTATTTAACATTAAAATAATAGCAAAAAAAAGTGGTGCAAAACTTAACGATGGTATGCCCTCACTGAATTATTTTTGTTTTTCTTTCTGTTTTGTCTTTTCATTTGGTCAAACAACATCGAAATAAATTTCGTTGTTAAAATAAATACAAAAATAAGCAAAATAAATGTAAAATTTGAGCAAAAATAAAGTATATATATATATATATATATCTATTTTGAAAAACTTTCATCAAAAAAACATCATATATTAAAAAAAAAACATTCTAAACTAAGAGACTTAAACCTTACAATAATATAAATTTTAGAAAAATGAGACTTCTAAATTTTAATAAGCACAACTTATTTTCATAGCATTGCTTATTTTCAAGAAAAATAAGCACAACTTTAGCTGATGTTATTATATAAACACTACGAGTCATCGCATTATGAAATTCATTAAGATTTTTAGTAATCAGATAGTTGAATATAAAAAAAAAAAAAAGCTGTGTTGACTAAGACCAAATTTCATAGAAATATTTCATAACTCGTGCGAACATTTATTTAGTCGAAATACATATATTGTTCCCACACATTTATATTTTCTTACATATTTATATCCCCAAACATGATCAGATCGAACTCACAACACCCTCATCCTCATTCTCCACATTCCTAATTCTCGAATTCACAACCCTACAATTCAGTCTTATTTCACCTTGAGTTCCAGTCAAAGGTTTAAGATTTCCCATCCTAATCATTGCTTCAACGAATGCTCGAAAGAACACATTCGTGTTTCCGCTGTATTGCTCCACTAGTGGAATCGTGTCGGCTTGTGGAGTAGAAAACAGTTCTTGGTCACTCTGAATCAGACCTCTCCCGTTACGAAGATTGGTGTAGTATTGACTATCGAAAGTATCTGGAGTCACGACATCGAAGTTGACTAGAACAGTGCCGTTTCCGTTCTGAGGGCACAATCCTCGGAGTTGGGCAAGGTAAGTTGGGTTAAGACTTGGGTCTGGTCTATTGGTACCGTTGAAGTTGTATAGACGAGGTGTCACAAATTGACATTGTGCCCTTCCAAATGTGTGGCCACCTAACCATTTTGACAAAAATAAAAGTTTTATATATATAAACATTTTATGTTTAACCAAAGACGAGTCATGCAAGCTTTGTCGTTTTACCAACCCATCTTATAATTCAAAATCACGTGCTAGTCTAGAAGATATTTGTTTGAGATGGTTTTTGTATTTGTATCTATTTCTGTTTCATTTACATTGTCATGTATAATGTATTTCAAGCAAATGGGTTTTCTTACTTAACTCATATTGACGTATATGCCTAAACAACTCTTTTTAATATACTAAAAATCTTATGCTAAGATTCGAACTTGAATATTTGTACAACTATTTTCAATATACAAATTATTATTATTATTATTATTATTATTATTATTATTATTATTATAGAATATAATAATAGCACATATTAGCTCTACCAACTTTTATAGTATTAATCAAACGTTGAAAAGCATGTTAGGAGAGAAAAAATATATATGCAACCAAATTTATCAAATAATGTATTTTTTGTTTGTAGTCTCTTATTTGTTTCCTACACAATTCTATGGAATTACCATGTAAGTTATATATACACAACTGAGAGGTGAATCTAGCTACCAATATATTAGATGAAGTGTATCTAAACCAAAAACGTTTATCTTAGATAAGATACATTTATTCACTAAAACATGAACACAAAAATTACCAGAAAGAGCGACTAGATCTGAGGTGCGGTTTAGGCCAACGTCAGCAAAACTTTTTTTAAGTTGAGCAAGAGTGAAGAATGGAGAAGGAAGAGCTGTATTTGCCAGAGCGAAGAAAGCTCCTAAGCTGTCTCTCCTCCCCAACGGAACCGGCCACCATGGACCTCCCGACTATATAACATATATTACATTAACGTCAAAACTTTATAATATTCATGTAACATTTTCCGATTGATTTCATCCATATAAGTCATGTGGGTATGTACATACCAAAAGCACTGATATTTGAGAAGCGATGGTGAGAACATCTGCACAAGAAACTGTCCTTGGACAAAATCTCTCAAGCTCGGCTTTCATTCGATCTATGACATTGAACCCTCTAGCCGACTTTGCGTTTGGAGCAGCATCTTTCTCGGTCCTGAACGATGTGGAATTGTCGAGCAGGATCGATGCATCACACCCCTACAAAACCATATTACATTACATGACCATTTTTTATATTAGTTCAAAAAATGCTTTTAGCCTTTATTATATATATATAAATAGTATGTAAAAGTAATTTTTGCATGTCCATAAGACATCATGTTTTTTTTTTTTTTCATATAAAAAGATTAGTTGAGTAAGTCCTTACATTAACAAAACAGTCATGGAAGTGAAGGCGAAGGATGCTAGCGGCAATACGGGGATCAGAGGCCAATTCATCAACGATGATATTCCCAATGATATCGAAAACACGCGGGCATGTTCCAAAATAGAAATCAGGCCTCAACTGAGCATTAGAGTTTGTTGCTTGAAGCAGAAGGCAGCCCACTATTAGGGCTCCCATGGCACTGCAAGAAAATGAACTAAACCCCATTTTTCCAGGAGGGAGACAAAAGATGATTGATTTGTGAGTATAGATGATGGTGAATGAGCTTATGCGTAGAAGGAGCTTTATATAGAGAAGCTTGAGTGTTCTCTCTTCTATAGTATTAGACTATTAGGTATTGTATTTATTTATTTTGTCTTTTTTATATAAGGGAGTATATATAAGGGTTTTTTTAAGGCCATAGATAATATATATTTACTAGAATGCTTGAAGATTTTTAAAATAAATTCACCAGTTCTTATGGCGGTGCTCATATTCTTTGCACGTAAGTAGAGTTTATTACTTTTTGGTTGCATTTGTCGCTGTGATTGATCCACCGTAAGACTGATCATGTTTTCACTTCAATTGTATAATATTTAGTATGATTTCTTTTTAACCAATTCCATATATACACTTTTTATTGCAGATGATGTAGACATTTTACTTACTACTACAAAATTACAAATACACGTATAAATCTATAAAGATATGTTTCTCGATTCCGCCTATATATTCTTAAATCTTAATGGTATATTTATTTCAAGACATACATGATTATTCTTTCTGAGAATTGAATTCACATTATTGGGTTTGATAAATCATTTCTAAACAACAACTGTACATGGTACGAAATAAATGTATGATATTGAAATCAAATTTGGAATTTACAAAAAAACAATCTAAATTGAATTTAATTGGGACAGCTAAATAAATGTTGTTGATACACAAGTTAAACATGATTTATATCTGTGTAAAAATGATGATATATATCTTCGTACTTCTTACAAAATATGTAAATCACATAATATTATTTGATTGTTTCCTAACTACGAGAGACTGTATTTTGTTCTCTTAGAACCTTCTCAACTAAGATTGTTTCCTAATTAACAGAGACTATTTTTCCTAATATTAAGGGCGATATATAGAAGTCAGTTGTGTTTTGTCCTTCCTTTCCCGTGAAAAACGGGAATGTGGCCTCATAAGCCACCTCTTCACACCCCGATAAAATTATACAAATCTTTGCCCAAAATCTTTCAATCTGAAATAACAAAGTTACCTAATAGTCTAGTACATATATCAAATTCAGACGGGTCCATACGCTATAGCCTTGGTGGTTAACCTAATCTAATACTTTAGTTCCTTGTCTCTTCTTACATTTATAACCAAGAGTTGAAAGCGGGCAAAGAATTAATTTATCATTGAAAACTATTTGTTAATTTCATAAAGTAAGAATACAAGAAAATTGCATTAGTCATCCCCGAGAACAAGATGAAATCGTAGACAAAAGAGGAAAAAAACAAAAAATGACAATATTAGTTTAACGTTTCGACAAAAAAGAAGACAAATTAAACAAGCAGGTGGACAAATAATTGATGACACTACACATAGATAGTCTTGTGACTAAAGATATATAATCTTATACGAGAGAAAAATAAAAGTAACCATGAACGAATTAGTTTACCACCATGTAGAAACAGTTATTTTAGAAAGGGTCAACTGTTTTTAGAAGGTGAATACAAATCAAGTGAACTGAAACAAGATTGTTTTTTCTGAAAGGAAAGGAAAAGATACCAAATTTTAGATATATATAGAGATTGTATGCGTTTAGAAGTATGAAGAGATATCCTCTAATTTTTTTTTTTTTTTTTATGGCGGATAGAATATGATAGTGATTGACAACTAAAAAATCACTACCAATATAATTTTATATAAAGGTTGTAATTATAGTTAGGTATGTGCATCTCGAGTTGAGTAATTTGAATTTATCTATGTGACATGTCCAACTCGAATTAAACGAACATTTCATGTATGGGTTCTATAAATATTATCGGTTTGGATCAAAACAGCTTATTCTAGTAACGGATCAGTACATGTCATGTAACCAGTTACATGTTTGGTCGATAACTAAAAAATTTAAAAACTTTATCAACCCAAACTTTTAACCACTTGGCTTAACTTTTTTCCACTTTTGACTTTTTTTTTTTCACGGATTGTCCGAGCCTATTGAGTCGGGGATTAAGATGTGAAGAGACGAGACGACGACGCAATATGTTTTTGCTCATTTCAGCAAAAGAATTAATTAATCGAAACTGAGCACAAAAAAATACATGACCATTATTTTTTTCAACTTTGATTTTTTTTCCCTCTGTCATCTCTCACTGTAGACAACAAATACAGACGACCGTGGCGTGGTGTGGCGTGCCGTTTCGACACGTCTTTAATCACATTCACACCAGTATCAATCTCAAACCAAGAGTTTTGGTTCCACTCTCCGACTAAACTAAACTAAACTAAACCAAGAGTTTTGGTTCCACTCTCTCGCTTTATTTGCCCTCCTTCCGCCTCAAAGACCTGTCTTTTCCGCTTCTCTTTCGCCAGTGGCTGTTCTATGGCCGAATCCCCAGAATCGGGCACTGTGATAGACCCCAAATGCTTAAACCCTGACACAGATCTGTCGTATAATGCGAATTGCCGAGCGGAGATCGACACTTCGCCGCCGATCGAGTCAGTGAGAGAGGCGGCCAATCGGTTCGGCGGCTTCGGTTTCTGGAGACCTTCTTACAGTACTAAAGTCTCAGAAGCCTTTCAGGTTTCGCCCTCACTTTTCTAGGTTTTCTTTTAACTGATTAGGAATGTTTATGCTTTTCTGTTAACTGATTAGGCATGTTTTGCAATGCTGTTGTCTGAAACGACAAGATGATATCTCTTGCTGAAAGGCTTGGAATTGGTGTTTGATGATGTCTGGTTCATGTCTTAAACAACATGATTATAATGATGATGATGATGATACTTGAATTCCCTTTCATGTTTAGCAATAATGATGAAGAAAAACTTGACCCCATTGTTAGGATTTGTTCAATGCCTTCAATTTTTCAACCTGATTTGTCACATTTTGTCAAAATTGTGTGTTCTGTATCATAGATTCGAAAGTAAAGAATCATATTTGTTTAGAAAGATTTCAAAGTCATCAAAAATTTGTTACATTTTAGGATATGTAAGGTAAAGTTTCTGAATTTTGGTGGCAGGAAAATGTCATGGAACTCAAGGCACAGGCTGCTGAGCTAAAGAAGGATCTAATTGTGAAGGAACGCGAAACGCTACATGTGCTCAAGGAGCTTGAGGCCACTAAAGCCACAGTTGAAGAGCTCAGCTCAAAGCTGCAGCAGAATAATGAGGAGGAGATGTTGAGAGAAGATGTTCCTCTTCGCGGTCGTCATATCAAGCCAGCGGGTGTGGTACTGAAGGATTTAAGCCAGGCGAAGATGAATCTTTGCAAGACGACGGTGGATCTCGCGGGTATACGCGGAATGGTTGAGCATTTGAACAATCAGCTGAATGAGGAAAAGGCTGCACTTGAGAAGACACGCGAGAGACTTATGCAGAAATCTCTCAAGGTGATTTCTCTAGAAGAAGAAGCGACGGTAAGATCTTTTGTCAAGAACGGCGAGAAAGATGCAGAGAGTAAGGCATTAGTAATGATGAACGAGGTTCAAAGACTCAGCCGTGAAGCTCAAGAGTTCAAGAAAACAGGAGAGGATGCACGGACGGAAGCTGTGAAAGCAATGGCTGAGATTGAACACACGAGAGACAAGATCAAAACGGCGAAGATAAGGTTGGTGGCAGCTAGAAACATGAAGGAAGCGGCTAGAGCGGCGGAGGCGGTTGCAATCGCCGAGATTAAGGCTGTTACCGGAAGTAAAAACGCCACCGTGACTATCTCTGCTGAAGAGTATGCCGCGCTCGCTCGCAAAGGTAGAGACGCAGAGGAAGATGCGAGGAAGCGAGTGGAAGACGCGATGTTGAGAGTTGAAGAAGCGAATGTTTCGAAGAAGGATGTTCTGAAGAAAGTAGACGAAGCGTCCCGAGAAATCGAAACCAGCAAGAGGGCATTGGAGGAAGCTGTGGAGAGAGTCGACGCTGCAAACGCTACGAAACTCGAAGTAGAAGAGGCGCTGCGGAAATGCTCGTCGGAGAACGGACAGAGGAGGAGATCATCTTCTTCGGTGAACAATACTTCCAGGTTCAAGAACAGAAGAGAGACGACAACAGCAACCACAACACGTCTGATGGATGTAAACGGTCTGAGTCTGACATACGATGTTGTTGTAGTGCCATCGTCACCAGTCCCTGTTTTGAAGCCAACAATGTCAATCGGGCAAATACTCAGCAAGAAGCTTCTTCTTGCAGAGGACTCGGAGATGAATGTTGCTAGCGAGAGAAGGAAGATGTCGTTGGGTCAGATGCTGGCAAAGAATAGCGATGGTGAGAGAACTGTGAGTAAGAGTGCAGGGAAGGAGAATGGGAAAAGATCAGCGACTCGAAAGAGAAAGAACTTTGGATTTGCTAAGATCTCTGTGTTGTTAAACAAAGAGAGCAAAGATAAGAAGAAGAAGAAGATGAAGAAGAAAGAGATTGCTTTGAACTTGAGGTGACCCAAATTATTCAATGTTTTGACTTCTTGCTTGTGTTATGTTACGTTAACCAACTGGGTTTTTCCTAATTTAGATGTGTATCAAGCATTTTATTATAATGTGGATCCCAACTATCTAATCCCAATACGATATTAGCTTTGACAGAAACGAGATAGAAAAAGATGAAGTGTGTTAATTTTTCATTTACAAATTACGAAGTCTATTTTATGTCGTGAGGGTTTAAGTACATATAGATCATCATCAATAGGTTAAGACACTATCCAGTATCCAATTCATCAACTAATGGATTAATAAACTAACCAACTCTTCGGTTCAAACTGTACACCTAATGTTTCTCTTAATAATGGACACTATTATTTGCTAGTACGTTAAGTCCAAAAAGAATTTTTATACCTCAAAATTATAATCTTCCATTTGAGAGAGATCAGAGGAGAGTTGAGAGCGCTAACTAGAGAAAATAATATTCACTTCATTTCATATTACTTGTTGTTTTATAGTTAAAATTCTGTTCCAGAAAATTACTAGATGTTTGAGATTTGAAGATGAATTCAAATAAAAAAATTAGCTAGATGTTTGAGATTAGATGATCACTTGTGGTTGAGTAACTGCAGCAACTACAACAGCGTGAGAATCAGCCTGAAAAAAAAAACAGAGAAGACGTTTAAAGACAAGTATGAACGAAAATTAACGAGGGATAAATTCAAATCTGAATATGTGTTTGGAATCCAATTAAATTTAACAGTTGAAAAAAAAAGGTTGAAACAATCATGTCACCATGGACGGAACATCAAAGAAAAAATGTCACCATGGACAGAACATCAAAGGGGAGTGAAAACGTGTTTAATTGAAATGATAGTTGACGCATGTAAAGTTGGAGGGGAGTAACGTCTAAGGTGTATGCTGATTATCACTAAAGGAGATTCTGCTAAAGCTCTAATCGTAAGTGATTTTGATTTATAATTGCACATAATAAAAAGGAAAGTTTGTAACCTCTAACACTTTTTATACAGATGGTAGGTTTGTCAATGTTGAGGGTCAGATTAAAGAAAACCAAGATATCAATACAATTATGACAGTTCTTGGATTATCATTTGTCATGGAAGCTAAGGAGATAGAGAAGTCACTCAGATATGGCGATATAATGATCATGATTGATCAAGTATGTTTTCAACCTTTTTTTTTTTATAATGCATTATTCTAATTATATTGTTTCATTTAGAATTGTTTTTGACCAAAATTTTCTTTCCACCTTGTTTAGAATTATGATAAATTTCATTTGAAATGACTTATTCTCAATTTCATCCATCATTTTTGGCTAGCTTATTACAGTTTGGCTAGCTTATTACAGAGGAAGCCATCATTCATAAGTGTGTTGGTAGCATCATTTGTTAAAGTAATTCGCAACAATTTCTCTAAGGTTACAGTTTGGTACGATAGTTCATAAGGGTTGTAGTTTGGTATGGCATTGTTCCACCCAGTTTCAACTCCTAAAACACCATTCACAAAGACAATCGGAATGATGAGCAAATACCTACAAGCATTGATAAATTCAGTTGTATATGTGATTGGTGATTATGTTAAAACTTCACCAGAGCACTATGATCTTCTTCTAAGATGTGGGGCATTGATGCCGCTGCTGAATTTACTAGATCATCATGCTCTCCATGGCAATCTTTCAATCCTTCAAGAGACTGCATGGACTTATTATATTTATGTGAACACATTCTGTTCGACCATTGACCATGTCTTTTTTTTCCTCTAAGTTTAATTTCTTTAATGTATTTATAGTATTCTTTTAACTATATGAAGCATGATTAACATGTGGAATCCTCTCTTATAGTTCTTAAAAGACTATTATAGTTCTTAAAAGACTATTAAGGACTAGTTGATTTGAAGGATGAAAAAGTCTTCGGCGTTGCTCTTCCGACCCAAATTGTCATCCATGATGATCTTGTCCTAAAACTTGTTAGAATTATCATGTTAAAGTCAGTATTTCTTTTTCAGGCATACTTCTTCCTTAGATAATATTTCATAGAGTTAAGTGTACTGCATGCAATGATAGCTTTTGGAGATGATCGGCAAACGAAATTATGTAATCAAAATACTGCCAAAGCCTATTTTTATATATCTGAAAATAATATCTGATAAACTTTTGAGTGTGATCGATACAGGTGTTTTACTATTTCTTGCCCGACTTATCATGAAAAAAGAGGAACAACGTGTAACGGCTATTATTTTAGCGATTACAAACATCATATATTGTAATGTACCGCTAATTAAGATTCTCATCGGTGGCGATTTTGTATCAAAACTTGTTGAACTGCTCGAGTGAGTATCCTTTTAGATTCTTTTTTTTTTATCTTTTTCCATTTGACGCATGTGTGATGATTAAATTGACAGCTGCTCTTGATTTTCCAGGTCTAGTTCTTATGATATAGTGAAAGATGCACTTTTGTACACTAGTAGTGCATTTTTTGTTGTTGATCAACAAATAAGTGAGGTATAGAATCAAAATGCTGTAAAAGCCGACTTTTATACTTTTATATATATCTGCTGATTTCTTTTCCAAATTGTTCTATCTTCTCTTGTCAAATTGTTGTCTGAAAACTGATGATTGGAAACATCGTAATAGACATGGAAGAGCACATTCAGGTGGGCAGTCCCTACCGTTTCATAATGTGTAGTCAAACCGTAAGAGCTATAGATGTCAGCCTTGATGGATTGACTAACTATTTGAAGTGGGATAAGAACATTTACGTTCAGAAGATTCAGGTGGAAAAAATTGCCAAGCTTTAGTATTATGTAGACCAGGAGATCCGTAACAAGACTCATGGAATTCTTACCTAGTTATGGGGTGCAAGTACCTAATATTAACTGAATTGTTTTTCTATATGCCTAAATTACAGATATCTTGGTGCATTTGCAATCATATTTAGGCACATTTAGTTGCATTCTGCATTTACATTGAGCACGTACGACGTTACAATTTGGCATGCATGTCTAAACTCTGAACGTGTTATGATCTGAATTATTTTAATAAAAACATAAATTACTCGACCAAATCACTCATTGTCATCTACAGTATATTATAATAAAAAAAAAAATTGTAACCAAGTTACCAAGCACAACGCATACTTTAGAATGCTAGAAAATCGAGCTAGTCGTCATTGGATCTAAACTATTTGTTTAAATTTTGTATACTAATGCATGTATAATCTCAAAGACCTTAGCCATGATATTCTTTAGACAAAAGGTTCAATTATTTTTAGTTTAACATACACACTGAAACATAAGTACATGGTCCCATATCGTCCAGATAGTCTCTACTTTCTACATATTCTCCGGCAAGGACTACCAAGAACCACCGCCTGTGGAGATTCTCGAGGCGAGGGAGCTTGGGAAGTGGTCTTTCTACAGGCAGTCATCGCTGAGTTCATAGAGCTTGCGCCAGCATCGGCATCTCTTGGGCCTTGGGAGTTGGGTGGCAGGATCTTCATCCACGTCTACTGCACTGCCGGGATCTCTGGTCTCTCTCTCTCTCTCCTAATCTCTTTCCTTATACTAATCTTTTGCATTATCAATATGTTTTACATCCATTGTATTTTGTATAGCTCACTTCATCTTCTGTGTGTTTTCATATATTTAGCGTATAACACAAGGAAAAACCAGTCTAATAAGTATACGTAGTCAAATGATTGGATATTTGGCGAGTCTTTTTTTGAGGGAACATGAGAGTCAAGGGATAGGACATGACACCAGATTCCAGATTACTCTTGTCAGAAAACCTGGCAAGCACATGATGATGGTTGGTTCGTAAGTGAAAAGTTTCTGAGGAACAAACAATGTATAGAGGGAGAGATTGTTGTATGTTGTGTTATTTACCCGAGTTCTGACATCTTCCGATTAGCGTCTTTTAAGAAGGCATCCGCATCCTCAGCCTGAGAGTAGCACTTGAATCAGTGATGAAAATATATGTATGATAGGTGAAAGTCATGAAATGTATAACTTACTGCATCACGGCTAGCAATTTTTGCTTTAATCTCCTTCGTTTCTTGCCTAGTACATTCCTTCCGCACCCATGTACCGTCAGAAAGTACTCTTATTCCACCGGTACGCCTTGGCTTATAAACAGGCGCCTTGAATTCTGCTTCTGTAAATGGCATAGCCAAACAACAAAAGTGGATTACAATATCGTCTTAGTGGTATTAATAAACAAAGAGTTTGTGTACGATAGGCCAAAGATCCAATTACAGTGGCTCGCAAATTAAAGAAATGGACACTAACTCGGGATGACGAATGTCTGCTTAGGCTCAGGCTCAGGCTCAGGCTCCTTCTTCATTCCGCTCATTGAGTCTAGACGTCAAATCTCTATATCAATCAAGCCACCAACAGAAACTAAGTAAGAAAATGTGCGCTTATACAGCAGCATCAACAAATTAAAACCCAAGTTTCAAATCAAACAACTCAGCAATCACAGAACATCCAACCTATATTCCCAGTGAAAATATAACATCAACTGCAACATATCAATTTGGTAGAAAGGGGTACTAAAATCAATAAAAAATTACTTTTAACTGTATCGGAAACCAAACTCTCCGATCTATTACGTTTTTCTCGTTAATTAATCCACCGACATACATATGATATAGGTAATTAAAAGAAAACGCGGCCGGAAAAAGGCAGGGTTCTTTCCGCCGATATAGTCGACGATAAGGTAAGCTAAGAAGGAGAATAGATTAATTAAGCATCGAGAGTCTTACCGCAGCAAAGCAAAGGACGATGTTGAAAAGAACCACTGACAGAAGAAAACCACAGGTGAAACCCTGTAATCTAGTATATGGTCTTATGGGTTTCTTTTTGCAATCTTTTATTTTTTATTTCACTATTTCCTTCCTTTTGTTTTCGTATTTGTTCCGCTGAAAATGGATAATGAAGATCCATCTTTATAATAAATAACATAAGACCATTTCCAATTGATTTCTTCATTTTTAACTTTAAAATAGAATAACTCCAAAATAGAGTTAAGTTTTGGTACAATGTATATTTCTATTTTTTATTTTAACAAATAATATTTTAAATATATTCTATTTCTATATTATTATTAGTATCTTTTGTTTCTAAAATTTTTAAATAAATTTTATTTATTTTATTTTTTACAAACTTCTGTAAATATAAATTAAATAATTCAGCATTTATCTTAATTTCAACATGTGTTATATATTTTAAATTTAATTTGATTTTCTAATATTTTCTAATAATAATTATAATGTTTAAATAGTTATAATTATCTGTTTTATAAGATTTATAAATATTAAATGAGAAATCAAATTAATAAAAAAAATTTGAGATGTCAAAAAAAAAATTAGTTCATTCTAAAATAATATGAAAATATAACATGTCAAATTTTCTAAATTAAATAAAATATTTTAATTAGTTAAATTAAAATTAAATACACTATAAAATTTAAAACAAATACCGTAGCACAAATATTATTTAATATTAATAATTTATACTAAATAAAAGGAACTATTTGGGACTCCTTAAGCTATCTACCTCAGCTTTTCAAACTACTATAAAAGTATGATACATCAGCAAAAAATAATAATACAAATTCCCACTTTAGATTTTTTTGGAATACACATAAAGTAAATAAATAGAACCAAAATTAATATAATTAAATACAAGAGTAAATAAAAATAAATTATTATTTTTTGAATCAGTAAAATAAATATTATTTAAATCTATAGCATCAATATATACTCTTTTGTTTGTAATATAACAAATTAACAATAATAAAAATTCTAACTATAATTTTTTTGAAATACACATAAAATAAATAAATAAAACCATTAAATTAATATAGTTATTAGCAAAAACTAAATAAAACTATATATCATTTTAATCAGTAAAATAAATATCATTTAAATTTGTAGCATTAATATATACTCATTTTGTCACTAAAATTAATATAGTTACCAACAAAAATAAATAAAATTAAAATATCATTTTTTGAATCAGCAAAATAAACATCATTTAAATTTATAGCATCAATATATACTTTTTTGTTTGTAATATAACAATAATAAAAATTTCACTTTATATCTTTTGAAATACACATAAAATAAATAAATAGAACCACTAAGTTAATATAATTATTAGGAATAAGTAAATAAAACTAAATATCATTTTCTAAATCAGTAAAATAAATATCATTTAAAAGAAATAAGTAAATAAAACTAAATATATACTCCTTTTTGTTATATAGTGAATATATTGGACAACAAATTGCTCTAAAAAACTTAAATAATAGTTAATAGAAACAAGATTACAAAATAATAATTTCTAAAATAAAATTTAAAACATTTGCAAATTATAAAAATATAAAACATTCACTTTTTAGAAACATACAGATTAAACATCATAGTACGTTAGATTTATGGCAACCAACAAGACAACATAAATTATTAGGAAGCTTTTCAAAGCATCTATCTATATGAAGATTTCGATCATTGTTACTATTTACATTGCAGAAAATGATAGACAAAAGAAGAATTTCATGCACTGATATTTATTCAATGTGTGTCTTAGTTGGCTTAAGGTAGTCAAGTTACTACAAGCGATACATGTCAACACATGAGTTAAACAGTTTATAAACAAAAATTAAGTTTTAAATGATAGTTAATTTTTATATATATCAAGTTAGTAAATTCTTAAATTAAATAATTATGCATTTTTGAAAAAATAACATACACATTTTTATGTAGAAGAAAATGTCTAAAAAAATCTTTAATTATCCACATCAACAAAATTCCTTATAAACCCAACTTGAATGAAAAACTAATATGGTTTTTTTACTGGGTTAAGAAACTTCTTTAAAAATAATATAATATATACTATTAGTTTAATTATAAAGGTTCATCAAAATATATATGTGTATTTTAAGAAAAAATGTTTAAGTTAAATTACAAGCAAAATTTTTTACATCTTTTGAGTTTTGAGAAACTCAACATACTTTATTTAACATAATGAGTTAATATGAAATTGTATTTGTATATGTATTATTTGCCTTATTCATCTATATTTTTTTTATAGTTTACGTATACTTCATAGACCAAATCAAAATTGCATTTTATCAATATGATTGTGATTTTTTATACTATGTAAATATTGTTTTTATTTATATGAATCATAGTTATTTTATAGATTTATAAGAGATTAGAACATTGAGTGTTGTTTGTATTTGAGATTGCTAATTAAATAAAAACACTATACGAACACAGTTGAAATAAAAATAAAAATCTAAATTAATTGGAACAATAATAATCAAATTTAGTAAAAACAAAAATAATTTTAATAATATTTTAAAAGTTAGTAGTAAATAACAGTGAGTTTATATATAAATATTAAGTTTTAGATTAATAGTTAATTTTAGTATATCAAGTAGCTAATTCTTAAATTATATATTTTTGAATATGTTAAAATATTTTCGATGTATAATTATATCAAAATAATTTTAAAAATTAAATATTATATTTAAAATATTAACTTAAAATGAAAATAATAAAACTTAAATAATAATCAAATATTTATATAAAAACAGTCTGTATGTAGTGCGGAAATATCCTTAATTTAATAATAAATACAAGTGAAAAAGGAAAATCAAAGAAAATAGCGATGACGCTTATTGTCGGTGACGGTGACACGTAGGTAGGAAGGAAAGAGGAAGGTCAACAAATTTCTCTTCCGTATAAATCTCTCTCTCATCTCCTTCCCTCTCTTTAATTACGTCTCTCATCTCACGCTATATTCTCTGCTTCCTCGATTCTTCAAATCTCTTCTCTCAGATCTGCCAAAACAATGGCTTCCACGGCGCCTCCGATCCTCCCCATCTCCAATTCTCAAACCGTTTCGTCCGCCGCTCCTTCCTCCGTCGAATCCCAGCCACCGATCGCAACGCCGGCCTTCCGCGCCTTCTTCAATCAGATCTCTGAAACCGTCAGAAACGGTCTCTCGCAGCGTCGTCCCTGGGATGAGCTCGCGGATCGCTCGGCATTGTCCAAACCGGAGTCAATTTCGGACGCCGCCGTTCGGATCCGCAAGAATTACTCCTACTTCAAGGTCAATTACCTCACCGTCGCGACGGCGATCGTCGGGTTCTCTCTCGTCACGCATCCTATCTCTCTCGTCTTCCTCCTCTGTCTCCTCGCGTCGTGGCTGTTCCTCTACCTCTTCCGCCCCACCGATCAGCCGATCGTCATCCTCGGCCGCACGTTCTCCGATCGCGAGACGCTCGGGTGCCTTATCCTGTTCAGCATCTTCGTGGTTTTCCTCACCGACGTCGGATCTGTTCTTGTCTCGGCTATGATGGTTGGAGTCGCGTTGATCTGTGCACACGGCGCCTTCAGGACTCCGGAGGATCTTTTCTTGGATGAGCAGGAGACAGCAACCACCGGATTCCTCTCTTTCCTCGGCGGCGCCGCCCCATCTGCCGCGCCTGCTGTCATTTCCGCTCGCGTATAATTTGCTCCTCCGATCTACTAGTCCGCGGTGGTAATGGTTTTTGGTTCTTTATATGCTTTTTGAAAAAAATCTTTCCATATGATTCGTTTGTTGAATCGATACTTAGGGAGTTTTAATCGTGAAAAGTTGTGGATCTGCCCTAATTTTTTTTTGTTTCGACATTGGCACAGTTATAGGTGAAATATATCTTTGAATGATTTTTACCACTTTTGTTAATCTTTTAGCTTCTGATCTGTTTTCTTTGTTCCAATGTTGTAGCCATCTTTCGATTTGTTATGACTACGTAGCATATATATAAACGAAAGAGTCAAATTTGAATGTATCTGTACGCAGAGATCCATCACGTTTTTTGAAAACGACCCATCACAGATACAAAATAGAAGAGACCTGATCAGTGCATAGGAATTAAAGAAACGAAATTTCAATTTATACACAGCCTATCCAATGAGCAGAACAATGTCTAATGTGGACTACTTGTATTCATCCACGGATGTTATGTATTTGCCTTATTGGGTCGCGTCTACGTCGAAAGAGAAGTTGACAAAAAAAAAAATTTGACGAGCAGATTTGTTTTCAGATTAATAGCCATGGGCATTGACTCTTGAGCATCTGAGTTTCTTCACTCTGGACTGAATCTTCACTAATTCACTTCCGGGTTGATTATATTACTGTTTGAATTGGAAAGAGTCTAATCAATGTAAAATCTTGAGGTCGTTGACCTCAATAAGCAATGGAGAAAAATAATTAACTTCTCAACATATCGTTGATCTAAGCCGTACCACGAAATAGGGAGGAACAAACAAATAAACCGCTATCTTTAGCTGCCTTTAACAACATCGTATTCTTATAGACCGCTAAAAACAATTTGATTTCATCGCCTAACAATTTGGTGGCCATATATAAGTTAATGTGTTTGGGAAGAAAACAAATTCTTATCATAAAGGAATTAGTGGGAAAATGCCAAAATTTGTTAGCTTGTATTATAGGCCAAAAGATTTTAAAAAGAGGCTTTCTTTATAGTGAATTGCTACCCAAGACTTCTACTATTGGTGACAATCCACCTTAATTGATTGTTAGTGTTTTAGTATACGCCACCAAAACTAATATCCAAAATTTTATTGAGTAACAAATTGTTTCTTGTGTAGGCAAAAACTTAGCTCTGAAGAGTCCAATGAGTGTTACAATTGTAAATATTTGGTTGAGTCACCAATATCAGTTTGAAACAAAGAGCAACGTTTATCAGAAAGATGTGGAAGATGTCAGATTGGTAGCTTGCACCGGAAGTTAAAAGCCTAGAAAAGAAGAAATCATTTCTTTTCTTTTTTTGGCACCAAAGAAGATAATTATTAACTTAGAGTGGATTGTTATCCCCCCCAAAATTTATAGAAGTATATATTATTTTATATTCAGGATACCACGAATATTCAAAGTCTTAGTCACAAAGAAATCTAATAATCTATCTATAAACCTTATAAAGGAAAAAAAAAAAAAAAATGTAACGTGTCCAGTAAGCCGTACATTGGCATCAGCACCACGCGTGTTCCCAGACGATATCTAGAGACATGTTCCCACCTTAAAACTATGACGTCCTCCACGCTAAATACTAAATACAGTTTTTAGTTTACTGTTTTGGTTTTTTTATTTTCGGAATTTTCTAGTTTCCTCTCGTTTTCGCTCCATATCTTCCTGTTGTGTTTCTTCTGTGAGTAAATGATGCAAAAGGAAGATAACGGACCAAAACAGGGCTCCTCTGCTTCTGTAGAATCCTCTAGAAGACGAAGGAAAGCGGTTGAGCCAGTAGAAACGACGTTAAGTAGATGGGTGAAGGATGATGATAAGGAGGAGGAGGAAGGTTTGATGAAGGTTCGTAGGGTTCAAGCGAAAGGTTCGAAGAAAGGTTGTATGAGAGGAAAAGGTGGACCAGAGAACCCGGTTTGCCGGTTTAGAGGCGTTCGGCAGAGGGTTTGGGGTAAATGGGTGGCTGAGATACGCGAACCAGCGAGCCGCCGTGGTGCAAACTCAAAAAGCCGCGGTGGCAAGCGTCTTTGGCTTGGAACGTTCGATACTGCAGCAGAAGCCGCCGTGGCTTACGACAGAGCCGCTACCGCCATGTACGGGCGCTACGCCCGGTTAAACTTCCCGGAAGATCTTGGAAACTTGTCGCCGGGGGGAGAAATGAAGAACTCTGAGACGGAAAGTTCTAGAAGCTACTGGAACAACTTATCTGAAACCGGTAATGGTATGGTTGAAAAGAAAGATGGGAAGGATCATTTAGTCTATGACTACTCCGGTATCGAGCTTGGTCGAGACAAGACTGAGGAGAGTCTTGATCCTATGACTGGTAATGAGATAGCGCAATCTCTGGTCTACGGGAATCCAGAAGTGAAATCAGAGGGATATTACAGCTTTGATCGGTTCGAAGTGGACAACGGATTGTTGTACAATGAATCCGGTTATTACCAGGGAGGTGGATTCGATCCGTATTTAGGGTACTATTCCAGGTTCTAGCTAGGTTTTTTTTTTTTTTATGATGCATCAATTATTATTATACTGCAAGACTTATGTTTTACATTTGTTAGTTCACTTCATTTTCATAATCTTACGAGTCACACGCATCATACCGCAAAAAAAAATGTTGACACGCAGGATTCGATATGTCTCATTCTGGCTTCTCTGAGGCAGACCACAACACCTTCCATGGACCGCTTCTTGTTCCCAATCTGAAACATGACGCAACATTTTAAAAAAAAGGTTGTTCGAACAGTGTTGAAACTAGGAGAGTCTTTAAAATGTTTACCTCCAGGTTCCGGCAACTAAGCGCAACGCCATGAAGAGGAACAAACCCGTCCAGATCCCTGCAAGGCCAAACGTTGGTGCAGCCACAAGCATGAACAAGGAAGATATGAATCCGACAATCACCTGTTCCAAAACGAGAATTAATCAAACTTTGCTGTGGTGAAAAAGGGGAGTGATAAACCACCAAATGATGAAGAAGAAAGAGAGAGAGAGACCATAGAGTAAGCGGCAAATCCGAAGTCAGAAACTCCATAATAGAGGCCATCAAAGACAAAAGCTAGAGCATTCACCGGTTGAGAACCAGCCACAAACTGCATGCAAACAGCCATTATTTAGAAACACTCAAACTTTTCTGAGACTACCCTTTTGAAAACTTTTTGGAGAGTATAAGATAAGATCTTACTAAGGTCCCTGACAAAGCAATATCTAGAACTTCTGAATCCGTTGTAAATAAGCTCGAAAATGGTTTAAATCCGATGAACAAAACAGCAGCTAAACCAGTTCCAGTTGCTAAACCTACCTGCTCAAAACACATTTACACTATTGCAATCTTTGTATATATAAAATTGAAATCATAAAACAATGGGCGCTACGGAAAACGAACTTGAAGGACTCCAAAGATAACTTCCCGGGCTTGTTTGTATTCTCCTTGAGAGAAAGTGGTTGCAAGAAGACTCTGAAAAACAAAAGTAGAAAATTTAAGTAAAAGTTTACTCATAAAAGGTAATTTTGTTTCTTGTTAATGCAGAATTCTACTATATCTCAATAAAAATTTGCTTGGAAAAGCTCTGTTTTTGAAAGTATATAGACCTGTGCAGCAATGGCTAAAGCATCAGTGAGTAAAGATACAGCCAACCAAATTTCCAAGCAGATTTGATGGCCAGCCATTTGAGTTGGTCCATTCTGAGCCGCTAACGAAGTAGCCAACGTGAATGGCACAAGCAGAGCCACCGTTCTACCAATCAGAAGCCCACCTAAAGCATGAACCACATTTCATATAGTAGCGTTCTTCGCGTTTTGAATCCTTTTTTCAAAATAACTCTGAAACAGTTTTGTGGAGATACCTGATTTGAGGTACTGGCTGGCTCTTCCCACTTTGATTTGCGGAGAAAGCAAAACCACATTCTCATTCAACTTCCACAGAAGAATAAACGCAATCAAGTATCTGAAGAAAACATTGACAAGTGAGGCACAAAATAAGAAGCCATAAGAAGAAACCTACTTTACAGAAAACGAGTCTATAAAAGTATCAAAAAGTTTACCACATTTTTGGACGTACTCAGAAATCACGGTAGCAGCCGCAGCACCAGAGATACCAAAACCAAGAACAAATATCAGAATCGGATCCAATACCGCATTAAGCACGTTCCCCGCAACTGTTGACCCAAAGTTTCACCAACATCAGATACATGTAAATACGATTCAAACTACAACAAGTGGTGGTAATGTAAACGTTGGTCATACTTTATATCTCCACAGATTCAAGTCATGCATAAAATACAAGAAAAGGAAAAGATGAATGTGCAATACTTGCCCACGGCATAGAGAGGAGTCGTTGTGTCCTTGAAACCTCGAAAAGCTCCTTGTGCAGCTAATGCAACTACGATCGGCGGTGCACCATACGCCCTGAGCCTGAGGAACTGCTCTGCTGGTATTCTCATCGGTGAATCCTAAAAAGATTTTACCAAACACTCACGAAACTCGGAAGATAAAAATAGTTTTTTATATTCTTCTACATGCGTTTCTCCAAGAGAAGCTTATACACATACAAAAGGTATAGCCATGATGTCCATCAAGAAATCAGATCCGAGAGATAACGCAATCGCCTCTGCAATACCAACTCCAGCGGCAAGAGCTAAGGAAGTTGAAACAGAAGGCAACACTTTCTTTCCTTTAACACCAAACAAAACAAACAGACTCAAAATTCAGACACAAAGCATTAAAAGGTTCTGCTTTAAAAAGCTTGTTTAAGTGAAAAGAAAAAAAAAACTTACTTGTTTCAGTAGAATCATTATCATCCTTAGCTGCAATTGCTTGCTCTTCCGCAACAAACGATGTTGTGACATTAAGCAAAGGAACATTGAAGAGCTTCGACACCAGATTGAATACAGAAACAGAGACTCCTACTGCAGCTAATTCTGCGGAACCTGTTACATCACATAGATCATATAACAGTGTGAAATTTGTAAAATGTGTGGAATTGAAATTAAATCAAGAGAATGTAAATTTTTTTTTTTAATTTTTACCAATATGGCCGACAAAAGCCGTGTCAACAAGCGATGTTATAGGATCAGCGGCCAAAGCTAATGCCGCCGGTAATGCAATCGACATAATCTCCATTCCAATTTTACCAATCCTAAACCCAGGATCCGGTTTGGGATCATGATCCGGTTCGGGGGGTTCCACTAGATTCTGTAAAGTCAGAGGCTTTTGCTCTTTTTCCGGCGGCCCAGAGGAATCTTTGGAAGAAGCGGTGACGGCGGGAGATTCGTCCCGAGGCGACGATTTAAGGACGATCCTTCTTCCAGTCGATGAATTATAGCTCCGAGGAAGATTGCGGAGTTGGAAAATTGAGGGAGATCGGCGGGGAGAGAGAGAGAAGGAGGTCGCGACCGCCGCCATTGTGGAGAGACAGAGAGAGAGACGGACAGGAAATATCGGCGGCGGGGAAGAAAGAGAACCGCATGTTCTTTATCTATCTACTGAGTAAACTGTTCTAACTGATTAAACGGTCGGATGCGAGAAGTTGAAAAGTATCCGAGTTCTAAACGTGCCTGGACCTTTTATGGGCTTTTAATGGGCTTCTAAATAGCTTTGTTTTGTACAAATATCCATATCTAAAATATTTGTCAACCAGGCAGGATATCCTAAAAAAATTAGTAGATTTATGAAGCCCATATCACTTTTTGTTAACTTTTTGGAGTAATAATCCATTTCTAAACTATATTTCAACCTGGAGCTCTTCAACTCTCTCTTTTTCTTTTTGGTGATGTCAAAAAAAAACTCTCTTTTTTGGTAAAAAGCTCTTCAACTCTCTTTTTTTGGTAAAAAGCTCTTCAACTCTTATTATAGTCATATATAATCTGATGGTAAAAACGAAGAGGAAGAGAGAAGAAAAAATGAAAAAATAAAAAAATATTCTAATTAATTGGTATCTCTAAAATATGACCAATGCATGATTTTGGTTTGGTTTGGTTATGCGGGGAGAATATATATTCCTTTCGTTCATTCGTATCAACATGCATTAGTCACGTGCCTGAACACGTAACATCTTTTAGTTGATGAAAATGAAATACAACATCTTAAGACGAAAATCATATATATAAATAAATAACCATTATTTTAAAGATATAGAAATAAATATATCACTATTTTAAAAGATCAACAACGCTTTTTACCATTTAGCAGAGTCGAGTATATATAATAGGTCTGAAAGAACCATAGAGTACACGAGTAAGGCATAGAATTGAAGTCAGCTTTTTTCATCGTAAATTGGGCAAATAAATGTGCGGAGCGTTCGTTATTAAGAATTTTTATGAAATAAAAATATAATAGAGAGAGTGTGTGTGTGTGTGTTGCGACGCCGTGCAGCATCGGCAAAGCAGGCAGCCTCACATGACTTGCGGTCCCAGCAAAATATATATTATACAGAAGAAGACCTGATTATCCTTTGACTTCATTTACTTTTCCAATACCTGATTATGCACGTTAAAATACAGTGACACTAACACCGATATGGCAATATCATATTACATTTAACACTATAATCATTTGGACCATGTTGATTCGCATAAAACCCGCAAGAAAACCACAACTCTTATTCAACTTTATCAATAATGATAAGTTTGGGATATCATTATATGGAATCTTAGCTTGTGTTTTTTTATAGAATAAGATTAGTAATGTCATTAGGCTTTACTTAAAAAAACATTGGTTTAGTACTTTCACTTGTATTTAAGCTCTATCTTGTACACATTGCGCGCTTAATGAAGGAATTCAATGATTCTGTTAGGATCTAAAAGCTTGCTGAATGATTCTGTTTGATTTTCTTACATGCATATCTTCTTTCTAATTATATTATTTGTTTTATGTAGTATCATTTAAGTTTTATATTTTACATCTGAAGTTATACGGTTTAACTTTTGAAATATAGTATAAAACGAGCTTATGTTAAGTGGTATTTTTCAGTGGGCAAGTCACTACAAAAAAAATTGATATTGTTACAATCATTTTCGTTACAAAATTGATAGTGGTTAGTTAAGGTCCTTAAGGAAACATTTTTCCTAGTATGTTTATATCATTATATGGAATCTTAGCTTGCATTTCTGAGTATATGTAGTATTTTCGTGATGTTTTGAACCTAAGACCAACTTGAAGATATGAATTACGCATACTACATACTTAAATAACTTTTAAAAAACTTGGATTCATATTATTTTATCAAAGGTCAGATTATTGAACCCTTAATTTTAGACTGTATATATAATCTGGTAATTTAGAGTTAACTGTGTATGGTTACCCAACGTTTGGTAACAGAAAGTCAGTGGGCTAACAAGACAAACTAAATAGTTCATTCAACTAAATAGTTCGTTTTTAACTAAATACTTAAGAGGCTTAAAGAAGTAAAAAAGTACAATGTCTTCATATAGATCAACTATTTTTGTTTGTTTGTTAGAACTCCGGACCATTAAATATACTAACAAAACATATCATAGAAATTAAATTAGAAACCGAGTTTTCATAATTACTAGTGTTCTGTTTTTTCTTGCATATCACATAATTTTAATTTCAATATATGCAGTGAAGGTTTATTTATATTTTTGGTTAAAGTATGCAGTGAAGATACAAACATAGTATATATATATATGTGTGAAGAATGGAGTGAAAACGTGGAAGAAGAATCACCAAAGTCCAAGACGATAATATATAATGGAAAGATTGAAAATGAAACCTATGAAGAAAATAAATGTAACTGTGCATATGCATGTTGGTCCACGTGGTTCATGCAGCAGAGCATATCTGTTCCCCACTTAGCCTGGCCCCCAACCACAGCCACTATAAAGCCAGTAAGTAAATCCTAACAAATCTAAAAGGAAAAGAGAGAAAAATCAAATAATGATATTGCAACTTTTAGTTAGTACTTACTTAGTAGCATCTCCGATATGACTACTTTATTAATGTGAGAATATTTCTCTGTAATTGATTGGGTTTCATCTTTTCCAGAATTGGTTTAGAATGTTTGGCCTGACACTAATCAATCATTTTTTTCCCCCAAAACGGTAATAAAAACACTAATTAATTGTAATTAATAGGATACAGATGAAACCTACCCGTCGGTGGCCTGACTTCACCGGAGAAAGAGACCAAAGATGATATCTTTTCTTTTCTCTTCATCATTTGTTTAAGAAACTAAATATGATTTGTTCTTAGTTCAAACAAAAAAGAAAACTAATAGGATATACGAAACGAGCTAAAATGAGACTGTAAACAGAATTGATTCTCAAATGGTTTTTAGACGTGTCTATGCCTTTTACATTGTAGTAAGAAGAGCCAATGAAACTCAGGATGGACAGCGCCAAAAAAAATCAATGTGAATGTGATCATCATGGCGCTATCCCTCCTGAGCTTTACAGATTCTTCCCTACTTTTTTTTTTCTGTTGTTAAAAATTATAACAGATTAGAGAGGAAAGTGAAGCTAAGAGGATGGGAGTGAGGAAGAAGAAGGAGAAGAGAAAGTGTTATTTATAGACAGACGATGCGAGTTTAAGGAACTTGGGTTCAAAGGAACCGGCCACGTCATCTTTTCTTCGTGGAACGTGAAATTATTAGTTTATACATATTCTACCAAAAAAATATACTAATTAGGCCCTCTCCTTCTTTTCTGTAATTTTATTGTAATTATTTAATTTCTTAGCATTTTATTATATATTTTATTTTTGGAAAGTATATTGTTATACTATAGAGTCCAGATGTGATTTATCGGATCCCGTATCGTTTGTTTGACTTCTTTCTCCTTCTGAGGTCCTTTGATTCACAAAAATGAAGGAGGCTTTTTAATTCAAATACATTATCAATGCTTTTGTTGACGAAAATAGATGCATCTATTCCAATAGTACATGTATATGCTATCGTACCAAGTCGGTTTTAATTATATATGAATAGATTTCAATATATATCAATTGACATGTCAACAATATAAGAAATTTTTTAGTGATCCAATAAATGTGTATGTCATTGGTAAAATGAAGGTCTAATAAAATCTATGAAAAAAACTAATACTTTTTGTGGTTGTTTTTTGTTTAAATTTCAGTTTATTACATACTATCAGTACATGCAGTTTTTCAATATTGTTTTTTTGTACCGCATATTATCAAATATTAGAAGACCTATGCACATTTGCAAACTACGAGACTTTAGAGTTTTTTTTTTTTTGAACAACACTTTAGAGTATTTGCTGACTTTATTTTTCTAAATTCATTGTTTATAGTCTTTAACACACAATTTTTTTAAAAGAAATAACTACGACTGAATAATTAGATGTTTAGACGAATATAAAATATCAGAGGTACAATTCTTGCCAGAATAGGTAAATTCTGGTAAAGTAAGGGTGAAGTTTGTTTTCCAAATATGTTTACAAATATGATTAAATTAATAAATGTCAAGACTTTTACTTTATCTTTTTGATTGTTGTTTTATTTTTTCATGCATTCCTGCCGACTACGGTCGCAAGTCATATACGTATTAACTTTTTAACTAAAATAGGTAGATTAACCTTTTCTGCAACTAAAATACGTATTAACATGGTTTCAAAAGATACTATATGATGACGACGATGATTCTTTATTCGAGATGGATTGCATGGAATTGATCAAGATGATGTTTGTCATTTTGGAGTGGCCGGCGTCCTCTTCCCTCATCGACTTATTCACAGCTTTGAAGTTGATGTGGCCTAATTTCAAAATATCTTTATTTTTCCGTTATTTTAGTAGTTCGAACAAATTGTTTGGTTCGTGGTATTCGTTTGCATGGAACTAATTTCTTTAATGACGATATTTGTATTTTACATTGGTTCACGTTTTATAATTTTAAGTTGAAAACAAAGAGGAATTCACTTACAAATGGCTGACTTATAATGATATATATATTTTTTTTAATTTGACTAAAAAGATATTTTCTCTAAAATTCCAGCTAACTTATACATTATCTAATTTTTAATTCGCTTGTCGTGAAAGGAACGAACTTACAAAATGGCCTAAATTTTAATGATTTTGTCGAGAGAATGAGCTAACTAACAAAAATAATTATGATAAACTTTTGTTATTTTTTTTATTGTTAAACCCTTGTTTCAAAAAAAAAAAATTTGTCACTTTACAATTTTATTTAGTTTAATGGACTATCAATTTGTACTAACGGAAAATTGTATTTGGTTTTAACTAATCTGATTTTATGTTGCGGCGACATTTAATACTGTTATAGATAAGATGCCTTGTTATTTTTTTAGTTAATGGTTGATGATTTGAGTTTACAAATCTTTTTTTTGTTTTTTTTTTTTTGCAGCAATTTGGATGTGTGTTAGCTTAAAAGGAAACTATAATGGATTAGAGTAATCAAAATTTATGAT